AAGTTGACAGGTTTTTGATATATTTGATAGGAACCGAGATAATTGAGCTTAAAGGGCGGTAATAAAATTTTTGTTGTAAGATTTCTAATTTACAGTATATTTTTCAATATCTTCTACAAGAGCTGAGGAGTAAGTAGCATTATCTTTTTCTCTATAGAGCATCTTTTCACCATGTTTTCAGAACAGTACTTTCTCTTTCTTTACCTGTTTCACCCCGAAACCTTAATCCCTAATAACAACCAGGAACGCACACAGAGAAAAGAGGCGAACGCATTTATGAATTTGTATATAGATATAACATAAATATATATTACGCGCCGCGGCGTCGACACGAGAGGGACATCACCTTTCCGTTTCCAAAACCCAATCAGAAATATAACGGTAAAATGAGAGAAGAACTGTATGGAGACGAGAGAGTTTATGAAATGGAGAGAGTGTTTAGAGAAAGAGGTGTCCCCCATGAGTCTCTCTCAGGTGAATGAATGCAAATAGACATGGTCAGTGTCAGTGTCCCCCATTTCTCCGATCCATACACTGTTTTACCGTTTCAAGCACTCTGTTTATTTCACTGCGTCTCTCCATTTCGGACACTCTCTCGTCTCGTCGGCAAGAGACGCACCCCTCTTGAAAACGGTCGCCGAGAGAGGGATGGTGACCTGATTTCGAAGCAAGTTTTCTTTTTCTCTGAACAGAACACTTTTTGACTTTCCTCCTCCGAATCAATCAATTTTTCAACGAACTTCCATTTTACCGCAAAACATTTTTCTGTGGTTTGAAAGATTTCCGGGCTTCTAGTTGTAGACCTAAAATATTACCGAATGTCCCAAGGTTCCACAGAACTTTGAAACTGTACTTTCTGTGATGGATCACAATTTTTCCTAGTCATGACATCAGATCATTTGTCAGTCCCTGGAATAGATTAGACTAAGTTATGGGAGAGACATGTGACCTCGAGAAAACTGGTATTTCTCATTCTGAATCCTTTTACTTTGAATATTCCTATTTACCACTGATTGGATCTTCTAACTTAAGCAATCTGATCTAGTTTGTTTGACCACTATTCCCACTCATTTTGAGTCCGAAATTTGGAATCAAAATATCTCAGCTCCTGTAATAGGTATCAAAAAACTGTGAACTGATAAAATCTTTAAAATTTCATGATGAAAATTTTGTAAATTGCCAACTTTTTAATATCTTTAACAGGAAGCGAGATAATGTCGCTTGAACAATGATTTACCGTGAATGCTCTAATAGAATGCCCCTCTAGATTTCAACTTTGAGCCATTTGAGATTAAAATTTTGTTAGTTGACAACTTTTTGATATATTTGATATCAACCGAGATAATTGCTCATGAAGTTTCACATACCGTCGTTCAAGGGAATGGCCCCCTAACTTTTAACTTTGAGCTCAATTATCTCAATTTCTGTGAAAGATATAAAAAATCTGTCAACTGATAAAATATTTATCATAACAACATCAATACTTTATCAGTTCACAAACTCTTAATATTATTTATAAGAACCGAGATAACTGAGCTCAAAGTTAACATATAGGTTTTTTGTTTTGGAAGATTTTCGATATTTTTCCTTCCTTCAACACAAAAAAGTTCTGCGAACTTTTTCAACTCATTCCAATTTCAGTTTTTGGGGTTTTTTGACCTCTCCCCACTCAATTTTCTTCTCTCCCCAAAACTTTTTTTCCATCAATCAAACCTGTCCCCTCTCTATGCCTGAAAAACATGAATATGTATGAATTAGGGCCATTCCGCATGAGTTCAATCCTCTATGTTTCATCAGGAGAAACCGAAAAACTTGTTTGTTGGATTTTGATTTTTCAAAAAAGGTGATAAAGTATCACCCCACACTCTTCTTTGTTCTCGAAAAAGGAACTGAATGATAAGAGAGAAAGAGGAACCTTTTCTGGTTGATTGATAAGACAGATGTGCCACGTGGAATGAAGAATTGAATGACCACAAAGTTCATTGTGGATGATTCAGAATGAATTTCGAGATCAGATTACTGTAACACTAACTCTTTTTGGTTCCATTTGGTTCCCCGACTAAATTCTCTCGAATTACATGAGCAACCAACGAGGACATCCCCTTTACAAGGGGTTTTCTAGGCCACTAGTACCATCTAATATAAAATTCTTCCTCCTTTTTTTTGCCTTTTAAACCATTCTAGCGGAAAACCGAACAAAAGTGGGAGTGACTCGTCTAGTCTCAAGGACAACACATCCCTCACAAAACGTCCCCACACCCATTTTACCCGTTTTTATCCATGTGATTTTTTTTCTCAAAGAGACTTTCTGGCACTTTTCGAGACACTTGACAGTCTCTTTCTCAGTCGGTCAATTGTCAATAAAGTTGTTCAAAAATGTTCCAGGGTCATTGGGTGTTTAGGAGATGGCGAGGTACTGTAATCTTTGAGCCAATTTATCTTGGTTCCTGTGAAAGATATCAAAACGTGTTTAACTATTAAAATGTTCATTGAAATATTAAACATGTTTTGCCAGTTGACCACTTTTTGATAACTTTTACAGGAATCGAGATAAATAGGTTTAAAGTTAAAAGCTAGTGTATTACAGATTACTGTAACTGAATTGGGGACATCTGGATTTCTAGACAGACAGGAGGACAGGAAGATTTTGGTTTTTTCTGGTCCTTTGGAAATTTAAGAATTTCAGAAATTCCAAAAATTCGAAATTTCGATAAATTCGAAAATCCAAAAATTTCATTAAATTTCGATTGTCCACAAAGAAACTATGAGAAATTTCAGAAATTTCTCTTCTATATTTCTAAATCCAAGTTTTGCCATTTTTTGGATATTTCTGATTTTTTTGAAGTTTCTGATATTTTATTTTTGAAGAATCAGGAAGTAATGTTTTCGAATTTTCGAAATTATCGGATTTAATGAGAATTTAGAAATTTTTGGATTTTTTGGAATTTCTAGAATTACTATAGCCAAGATTTTCAGAGTTGGACACGAATACTGTAAACCTCCAAAAAACAACTCAATGAACTTAAAACCCCCTAAACCCTTCTAAGACCTAAAATTTTCTTTTCCCCTGTGTCTACGCTCCTTTTCTAGTCCACACTCTTTCTTGAAAAAAGGGGTTTTCAGTCAGAAAGTGCATCTAACCTCTTCGCTTCCTTTTCTTATTTTCGCTAGACCGGCGGCGGCGGCGCCTTCTTCCCCTGCTGTTGAAAAAAAGTACACGTTATTGTCTCAAGAGTTCAAATCACTCCACTCTCTTTCTTTCTGCCTTTCCCACCTTCTTCTACTTCTTCTTCCAACTACTATACCACTCTCTTCCTCCAACCCAACCACACAATTTGTCTCATTGTTTCTGTTTGTTTTACCTCTCGGCTTCTTTCTTTTTTCATCCTTTTTCTTTTTCTCATTTTCCCCCCGAATGTACAACCTTTCCGTCTCCAGATGATCATCCCCGAGAATTTCTGGTTTGTAACACTCTGTCTCATATTCTTCACAGAACAAAACACCCGTCCCGAACAGCAGAAACACACTGATTGGGGCGAACAGAACACACTAAATGTCCATCTGTTTGGGTAAAGGATTTAGTTCGGTCTGGCCGAGTTTTCCGAAATGTTAGGCCACTAAACTCATAATTTTCGAGCATCATCATCATCATCAGCTCCTCGTTATGTCTCACTTTCCGATGCATGCGTCAGTTGTGCTCTTCTTCTCCTCTGCTCGTTTTTCTTCACAGTAGAAGCACAAAAATGTCTATTTGAGTGTTTTTCACCTCTCGTTTTACCATACTCTCTATCATCCCCTATCTCTTTCTCTTTCATTTTTTCTTCTGATGCTCTCCCATCAAGAGCACTTTATGAAACACTTATCGATTATTTAAAACGAAAACGTCACATTCTTAAAATGGCTGAAATTCGTCTGATCTACTAGAATATTCTTCTCAATTGACCTATATTTATCTTTCCAGGAGCATGTGAACACGCCTCAAGGGGATAATAATCAGCAGAAATCATCGAAAGAGAACCAGAAATCTATAAAAGTAAGTTTTTTATTGAAAAAGTTTTAAAAATTTAAAAATTTCACACTGGCGCCGAAAAAATCGGTCATGACCGAGAAATCGCGCACCTGCCGATTTTCTAGGCCCTCGCATTATTTTTCATTATTTTTCATCATTTTTCACACTTTTCCCCATCTTTTCACTCACTAAAACCGATAATTCCAAGTGTTTGATAAAGAAAAACTGATAAAAGTCGAGAAAAATCAATTTCTAATCGCTGTTTCCCTTTTTTGTGTCAGAAAATCGGAATTTTCCGTATTTTCAGGATAAACCCTCTTCCAACCAACTTCCGCACTCAACAAATAGCAGCGGAACACGTAAATCAAGTGGAACCGGATTAAAAACTGCCAATTTGAAGGTATTTTTTTCAATTTTTCGAAAAAAAAAAGTTTCTCTTTAAATATTTTCACAATTGCCATGTCGAACATGAACTTTTTTGTATTAAATGACATTCACAAAGCGCTCTTCTACACAAAAGACACACACAGAGAACGGGCGGTCTTTGGAAAGATTAGTGATAAGGGAAAATGAGGAGAGGCAGGCAGACAATCAGAGGGAAGAATTTTTGTTATTTGATGATGAAAATATTGTGACAACGGCGTTCTCCTTTTGCCTCTTTTTTCACTGATTGTTTCGAATTTTCCTCTCTTTTTTTGAATTTCGTCACTCTGAAATTATGATAAATATATGAAAATTGCTTTAGAAAAAAAATAGAAAAAATACGAAATTACCACCGGAAATTGAGAAATAATAGGGGGAAATCTGGTGGGAGGAGAATGAGAATGTTGTTTGTTGCATTGAAAAAAGAGAAAGAGAAGAGCGGTTTTTTTCCAATATACGGAGTAAGAGAAAAAAGGAAAAAATCATCCCATTCTCTGTCTCTCTTTGAATCGAGACAAGAATCGAATCGCCACATTTTTCTCGCCTTTTTCGCAGAGAAAATTCGAGAATGTCCACAGTTTCTAGCTATTTTATGGGTATTTCTAGCAAGAAAAATGGTTCTTCTGCGACAGCGAACAAGGTAGAAATCCTTTTAAAATCCTGAAATTTTATGCTACCGTAAAACCTGTATTAGAAGGGCCCCTTTAATTGAAGGGCACCTCTAAGTGAAGGGCCCTCCGAGTAGGGCGGTGAGGCCGGTGAAATTGAAACTTTCCGTAAGTTTTCAGTGAAAAATATTCCGGAAATTTTGAGATTTCACAGAAATACCTTGGAACAATAGTAGGGCCCTTCTAATACAGGTTTTACGGTAGCTCTAGCACTCTCCTTCTAAAACCGAAATTCTGATTTATTTTTTTTTCCAATTCCCGCCTAATTTCTGAAAATTCCAGCAGTCGACACGTCCTCAAGAATCCCATCACCATCGACGTCAACAGCCCACAAGCCAACAATCCACTGAAATGAACGGAACGACGACTGCGCCATCAGGTGGCACGTCATCTGGAACAACGACGACGTCTTCTGGAGTGCCGACGGCGTCGACTGGCGGAGGATCGGCACGATATTCGAGTAGCAGTAGCGGTAGATCGCATCCGACCACTGGTGGAGGGTGAGCATTTTGAATTTTTTTTTTCAGGATAAAATGTGGATAAATGTGTGTGTGTGTGTGTGGAAATGGTCTCCGAATGGTCCAAATCGTAAAACAGTAATTATCGATTTTTCATTCTGGAAATTGAAAAATGAGCAAAAAACTTGGAAAGTGACATTTAAAGATAGTTTTTTTTGTGCAGAAAATCAACTAGATTCACATAAAAATAAAGAAAAAAAATTCAAAAAATAGCAAAAAAAATGAGTTGGCCCTTATGGACGAGCTTGAGTTTTCTAGTCCGCATTTGCCGCTGCTAGCATTTGAAAATCTCCAATTTTCAGCGTTTTTCTCCAGATTTTTTCAGGGTTTTCATGGTTTCCGTTGATTTTTCTCCAGGAAAACCCGGTATAACAGCTGAAAATCAAGGAAAAGTTTTAATTCGCGGGCTTCTTTGCAGCAAATGGACTAGAGAACTCACACTCGGCCGCTAGGTCACCGGATCCCACTTCGCTTTTTTGATGCGGTTTTTTGCATTTTAGGAATTTTTTATATTTTTTCACTATTTTTATGTGAATCTACATACATTTTTGTACAAAATTAAGCAATTTTCGACCCAAGAATGTTCCAAAATCACAGTTCAAACCGCCGTTTTCTCTCGCCCCCAAATTAGTGAGAACTAACTTCAAAGTTCTATTTTCCGTCTCGCATTTTTCTCACCCTTCTCTAGTCAGTCAATTTGTGTTCATCTTTTTTCAAAAAAGACTTCTTTTGTCGGTTGATTTCTTCGAAAATTGTTTGTTTTTCGAATTTCTCTGACTCTCTAGCTACTCGGTATTCCTCTCTCTGCGGGTTGTTTGCACCCAGATTTCGGCGGCTTTGTGCTCACCCCAACACTATTTTTTTTCCAGAAAGAGAGTACTTTGAAAACTAAAACATTTTTTAATTTTGGAATTTTTTTTCCATCGTTTTCCATATAGTGGACAACTGATAACTGATAACACTAGTGGTGTTGTTTTTTGATTTGTCAGTTTTGACTCTTTTTTTTGCTATGACGTTAGTAGTGTAATACAGCAGTTTTGATTTATTCTAAAACCTCCGTTTCTGACCATTTTTAATCTAGGAAAAATAGTTTCAAAATTTGCATATAGAACAACAAAAGGATTATTTTGAACCTAGGTGGCCTAGATTTCCTTTTCTAGGCCATCTCAGACCTCAGCCCTGATTACCTAGCTTCTTGAACATCTTCTGAACTCCTCCTCATTTAGATAACGAAGTCACTGAAAGCGTGACGAAGCAGCGCGACGAACAAGCCCCAATAATTAGGGGTGGTGGGCAAGAAATAAGGAGTGTAGGCACTGCTTCGTCGTCTTCTTCTGCTACTCGAATATTATGCAAATTAGGCCTTCCCTCCGCTTTTCTTCCTCGTCTTCTTGAGTTCTCTGACTTTCGTCTTGCCATCTAGTGTCGTCTCTATTTTTTGTTTCTTTTTGCTTCTTATTTATATTCTTCCCATATCGACATGACTTTTTGGCTTATTTTCTCTTATTTTCTGCTTTATATGACATCTAGCCGATGTTGTTTTTCGATGAAAAACCCACTTTTGGAGCACTTGAGAGGGTGCGATTGGCTGGTTTGATGCCTCTTTTATGTTCCAGAAATTCATAAAGACGACGTTCTAAAAGGAGAGATTTTGACCTTTTTATCATTCTGGTCCCACAACGAAAACTACAGTAACCTGAAAATATTTATGTTTTCTCGATTTTCGTGATTTTTGAGTCAATTTTTTTTCACCATCAAAAAATTGTAATTTTTCGACAAAGTGAGAAAACAAATCCTGAAAATGCAAACATTTTTAGGTTACTGTAGTTGTCGTTATGGGACATTGTCCCGATTTTTTGTACCAGAATCATAGAAACAACGAGAGCTCTCCAGCTACACCGTCACTTTTCTTCTTTTTTCCCTTATCCCAAAAGCTCGAAAAGACAAGTTTATCAAATCAAAAATGATAAAAATGATGTTTTTTATTCTTCAATTACATCATATTTCATATATCGTCGTCCTTCTTTTTCTTCGTCCATTTTCTATAATATCTTCGTCCATTCAAAGAGTTCTATATCCCCTTTCTCATGTCCAAAGCTCCATTTTTTCTATGGCTATTCATATGTATCGGAGAGTGTCTCAACTCTTGCCTCTCTCCCCATTTGTCTTGTTCCAATTCAAAAGAGCTTTACTATTTCCATACATGGAACTTTTCTCTCTCTCTCTCTCACTCTCTCTCTCTCTCTCTCTCTCTCTCTCTCTCTCTCTCTCTCTCTCTCTCTCTCTCTCTTCATTCTTTGAAAAAAAGAGAGAGCAATCTGGAATTTTTGAATGGGATACACTGCTGAGCCATTGGCTCTAATCTATTCTGCTGTGGCTCCTCTGAATTTGGAGAACCCCTTCTGGTCTTTTAATCCTTTCCGGGAATAGAAGTTCCTCCTAGGGTCTGGGGGTTTCGCACCCCGATTACTTCTTCTACTTGAAAAAGTACGACGAAAATCACGTTGCCGCCGTTCCGCAAGACGTCTTCTAGGATCTTCGAAACGCCCATTATTTCTTGACCAAACTATATAATGTCCTTCAGTTTTCTCCGAAAAACGGAAAATTTGCAAAAACATCTTTATGTGGTGGTGTTGCTCTGATGACGTCAAGCGCCGCCAAAAGTGTATATATTCCAAATAGATTATTTTTCTCTTGTTTTGTCACTGATAATAGCACTTTTTGGTGTGATTAGAAGGTTTGAACGTTTTTGCATGTTCTGTCGAGCTGTTTGATCAGAAGGTGTTATTTTCAAATTTGGAAAAATCTGGGTCAGCAAAAAATTTGAGTAGGCTCTCTAAAAAGTTTGAGTTGAAACTCGATATTTTTCAATTTGCTCAAAATCCTGAAAGCGAAATTTCAAATTCCGGTTTTTTGAAACTTTAGAATTTCTGTTTTAGAATAATACATGAGTATGAATTCTCTGAATTTTTTGAATGTTCAAAAAAATTGAAATTGCGAAAAATTAAATTTTTTGAATATTTTGAAAAATTGGATTTTCTGAATTCGCGTTTTTGGAATTTTTGAGACATTGAAACGTTTCGATTTTCAAATCATAATACTTCCAAGCTAATGAGTTCTTAGATTCTATCTGATTCGAAGGGCTTTTGATGCTGAAAACTTAAGAGTCCTCAAAACTTCGAATAACTGAGGTTCCTGAGCTCCATGCCTTCTGGAATCCTTTGCTCTTACTAAGAACAGCATCTAGCTTCTTGGAGCCATGAATTATTAGCTTCTGACTTCCAGACTTCTGAAATTCTCCATTCTTTTTCATCTCCACACCCAATTCCCCCTTCTCCAAAATCCCCTCCGAACCCGTTCGGAATCACTCGAGAAAACCCATCTATCACTGCGAGTTTTTTGGGTGCTCTCCATATCCTTCGTCTTCTTCTTCTTGTCAGCCCATCCTCTAGACTTTTTTGCCCCAACTTCTGCTTGCTTTCTTCATGTTTCTTTTTCTTCTTCTTCTTCTTCTCAACTTTTTGTCGTGATAGCCCTTGGGGCCTTCAGCTCCTTCCATATATTCCGTTTTTTTTGTGCCTAAAAAACTGATTCTCATCCCGTCCCCCAGCCCAGCGACTCACTGACATTGACGCCATTCTTCTCTATCTTTTTTTACTTTCAAACGAACCGCTTTGCTTCTTTCATAGCACATCCCATTTTTTTTAATCAAACGAAATCTGGTTCCGTCCCCAAACGGCTACTCGTTACTTCTCGAAAATAAGGACCAGGAAGTTCCGCAAAGCTGCTGAAATTTGGCTAAACATTTGGCTCTGATTAGGGCGCGAGCCGTCATATGGGTTGACGGCTTCCAGGGACACACTGCCACGTGGAGCTGTAATCAGAGAAGTAATGAAGTTTATGTGGAAACCGCCGGAGTGAGTTTGACAGAAAGCACTCTGATCAGAAAAATGTGGAAAAATCGTTCTGAATTTTCTAGGCCACCAGCTCGTTTTCTAGGCCAGCGTTTTTTGAAGGTTTTAGGATACAATAGATCCTCTTTGTTTGGAATTCTAGGCCATTCATCTCAAAGTTGGCCACCAGATAATTTTCTAGGATATCTAGGTCATGTATCAGAAAGGTAGGTCACCAGATCCTTTTTGGTGGGATCTTTAGACCATGACTCTGAAAGTTGAGCCGCGAGATAATTTTCTATGGTGTCTAGGCCATGACTCTGGAAGATTTCTAGGCCATGCATCTTATAGTTAGGCCAACAGTTTCTTTTTGTTTGAGTTTCTAGAACATGACTCTGAAAGTTAGGCCAGCCGATCTCAGAAATTCTAAATTGACCAGTTTCTAAAGTTCACCAAGTTAAACTTGACAAGTTTTTTTTGATCGGCGATCATTTCTCAGCCAATGTTCCAAATATTGTGTACCATCTGGCTTACCATGTAACCTGTAACCTAACCCGTTCCTTCCATGTTCTCCTCCATTCTCTCGCCCCCAATAAACTTTCCTGACTCACTGAGCATACACCCCCACTGGTGTCTAGAAGAAGCGTTATCTATCATTCCAATGTTCCATACACTATATGGAAATACACACATCGGAAACCAATGAGTCATATGGAACACCTTGTTGAGCAAAAAAAAGATTTAACCTGTAATAGAAGGGCTCTCAGCTTCTAGCAAATTTATCTCGGTTCCTGTGAGAGATAGCGAGAATTTCTTAACTGATATATTGTCTGTGATACTATGAGGAACATTTTATCAGTTGCTAGATTTCCGATATCTTTTGAAAGAAGTGAGATAATTGAGCTCAAATTTGATAGTTCCTTAAGTAGAAAATCATAAATGTCTAATGCTCTCTAACAACTAGATTTTCGTCTTTTGTATAATGATCATGTTACTTCCTACACCCGCCAACCCATTATTCCATTTAGTGCTGCCACGACGAGGCGTCAATTGACTCCCGCTCGAGAAGAGTCGAGACACGGTTAGTACGATTATAAAGAACCCAAAAACTTCTTCCCCTCGCCTCCTTCCCACCTATTTCTATTCAGTTTTTATTATTGACTTATCGGAAAGACAGTTCTCTATTCTATTTTTTTTTCTCTAGCAGCGAGAGACGCAGAGCATCAGACAGAGAATTTTTCATACTGACTCATTTTTCATACTGAACACAGAGACTGGTTGACACACCTGTCCTCTTGCCTGCTTCTTCTTCCCATTCGAAACTTTTATATTCTGGATTTTGGATTCTAGTGCCACGTGGCAACTATGATGACCGCTAAGAAATCCTACGCCTTTGCGCTGGACCTAGACGACCTGTGCTGTGATTCTGACCCTCCACCGTCAACGTCTTCTTCTAGAAACTGTTATTCTGTGTACTACCCTCCTGAACAGCAACCACGAACTATTGTTTTTCCGGAATACGAATTGACCAGGTTTCTTTTATTCTTTTGGTTTTCTCTGAAAACATTGGAAAGATCTGACTCATAATATTTTTTCCCTGAGAGATGAATCATCGTCCCAACGGCCAGGACATAGTATACGCCCTGGACAAAACCGTTCCAGAATATTTTTTTTCGTTTTTAGCCTTAAAAATAGGAAAAAAGCTGGTCCAAAATGATGGACACCGAGTGCAAGTGGGGCCGAGTGGACGAGTATAATTAGTAGGTTTTTTAGGTCGTAAAAATTCGAAAAGTCAGTTTTGGTATCGAGAAATCGTTATCTCACAAAAAATAAGCTCTATCCAAGCAATTTAAACTCGGAGTTTTGAAATTTTCAAAATTGCCCAATCTTGATAAAAATTGATATGACGACCTGAAATTTTTTCTACTAAATTTCAATTTCTGGTACTCGAGAACCCCTTATTTCGCAAGATTTTTCACCAATTCCTCCATCCAAAAAAACACTCAAAATCAACTTTTCCAACTTTTCACCCGCCCCCGTTAACCTCCGTCACACTATTCTACTCCTCCTATTTCGGACTTTTTTTTCATTAAATCAGCCGTAAAAGTCGTCATTTCCTTCCCCCGTTTTGGCCCATTTTTTCTTCAAAATGAAGCAGAGCCGGATGACGTCCGAGTCCGGCACGTCTCCTGGCTCATTGAATTCGACGAATTGCCACGCGTCCGTCATTGGATGAGATGGAATTCGCATCCAAGTGAAATACGCGAAAAAAACATTTGGGTGAAATGGAAAAAAAACGACGGGAAATTAGACATGGGGACGACGACGATTTTATTGAAGAGCAAGAGCACTTTTGGACACAGAGCAGAGCACGGCTTCCGTCCTTTGCTGGACCATTTGTCGTGTGGTGGGGACCCCCATCATCATCTAGAAAAAGAAAAGCGAGGTCGACGAAATTCCGAATGGATGTGCTCTCCTGAAAAAAGAGGCCTTTCACACTTATTGAAGAGAGAGAGAAAGATGCAATTTGTGTCTCCAAAGTGTGGATAGCCCCCCGGAAAACGATGGGATGGATGTATATGGAAAAGAAGAAGAAGAAGAAGAAGAAAAGGCCGCCCATCTTCTTCTCCTTTTCGGTTTTTTCCTCTCTGTTTTTCCACTGTGCTCCGCCCTTCGTCCACTTCCATCCCATCTTTTTCGGCCCCTCAATTTGACCTAATTCGATATGCTCAACGCGGCATACTCGTCTATTCTGGCCAGATTCATGTGTCAGCCCAGCACAGCCACGACGATTCCAGAAGAGGAGGAGGAGGAGGGCGATGAGGCATCAGAATGCGTTGTTCTGATATCGAAAAAGAGACGAACGTCTTCTGAATCTGAAGAGAAGAAGAAGAATAGCATTAAAGAGAAGAAGAAGAATAGCATAACAGAAGGTTCCCCTACTTCTACAGTACCTATTCCTCCTTCCTCAGCTAAAAAGAAAACTATGAAGGTGTCACCGGACGGAGACCATGTCACACATCATCAGAGAAAAAAGTTATTATCATAAAAATCAAAATTTGATATTTTCAATCAATAATCACATCTGAAATTTTCAGCTCTTCATCACATGCTCGCTCATCTGGCCAATCGGGAATGTCCAGTCGATCGGCGGCACGACGAAATGATCAGGATGTGCACGTTGGAAAGTATAAGCTTCTTAAGACAATTGGAAAGGGAAATTTTGCAAAAGTGAGTTCTTTTTTGTTGTTAGGAGGATTACTGTAGCCATCAAATTCTTCCAGGTGAAACTCGCGAAGCATGTCATCACTGGACACGAGGTCGCCATCAAAATCATCGATAAAACTGCCCTAAACCCATCCAGCCTGCAAAAACTGTTCCGTGAAGTGAAAATTATGAAACAATTGGATCATCCGAATATTGTGAAACTGTATCAAGTGATGGAGACTGAACAGACGCTGTATCTGGTTCTGGAATACGCGTCTGGAGGTGAAGTGTTCGATTATTTGGTAGCTCATGGAAGGATGAAGGAGAAGGAAGCGAGGGCAAAGTTCAGGCAAATCGTATCGGCTGTCCAGTATCTGCACTCGAAAAATATTATTCATCGAGATTTAAAAGCAGAGAATTTGCTGTTGGATCAGGATATGAATATTAAAATTGCCGATTTTGGATTCTCGAATACCTTCTCCCTGGGAAACAAACTCGACACGTTCTGTGGCTCACCGCCATACGCCGCTCCAGAGCTATTCTCGGGAAAGAAGTACGATGGTCCAGAAGTCGACGTATGGAGTCTCGGTGTCATTTTATACACACTCGTCTCCGGAAGTCTTCCGTTTGATGGACAGAATTTGAAAGAGTTGAGAGAACGAGTGCTGCGTGGAAAGTATCGTATTCCTTTTTACATGTCGACGGATTGTGAGAACTTGTTGAAGAAATTCTTGGTTATCAATCCACAACGACGATCATCGCTGGATAATATTATGAAGGATCGATGGATGAATGTTGGATACGAGGATGATGAGCTGAAGCCGTTCATCGAGCCGCCAAAGGATCAGATTGATGAGCAGAGGATCGAGAAGTTGATACAGGTGAGATAGAGAGGTTCCATAACGTCACACTACCGTAACCTAAAGGTATTTTCAATTTTCCGAATTAATTTTCTCGATTTTTGGGCTCCAAATTGTTGTTTTTCCACTTGATGAAAAGCAGTAAAAAGCGAGAATATAAGTCCTGGAAATGAAATCAATTTTAGGTTACGGTAGTTCGATTTTTTTCCGGAATACCATCGAATTCTTTTTTTTCCAGATTTTCCAACTGGGCTTCAACAAAGCAACGATTCTAGAAAGTGTCGAAAAGGAGAAGTTCGAAGACATCCATGCCACTTATCTTCTTCTAGGAGAACGAAAATCTGATGTGAGTTTTATCTTCCCTTCCTGAATACATGTCCTCCTCACGTTGCCTATGAAAAATCAATCATCAGAATAACCCCGATTTCCCTCTGCTGCCGAAAAAAAATTCTCTCTAAAAGCATGGTATTTTTTCAATGAATTCCCTCGATCCCAAAACAAAACCGCTAACATTTCCACTCTCTCGCTTTCAATATATATATATATACATTCCATTCTATTTTGCTGAAATTCTAAAAATCTAAAAATCTGCGTGTTTTGTCTCTACAGATGGACGCCAGCGAGATCACGATGGCCCAATCGCTTCTCAGTCACTCGTCGATCAATGTCTCATCGTCGTTGGGTCAGCACCCGGCCGGCGTCATCACTAGGGAGCATGTGACGTCATCATCAGCGTCTGGAGGCTCTGCTTCAGTGAGTGACATATCCCACTTGTGTGATTCTGTGTTGCACTCTACAGTAACCCCAGAAAGTTTTATTGCATGAAATGTCCAAAATTCAGCATGATTAGCTCTCTCTATATACTTCCCTCCCGTTATTTTCACCGTTTCTCCTCGATTCCAGCCCTCTCGATACTCCCGATCCTCCGCCACCGCCACCGGTCCTTCCATCACCTCTGGAGCCGCCCTGGCCTCTGCAGCCAACGCCCAAAAGCACCAATCCTCTGCTGCCCCTGCCTCCGGATCTTCATCATCTAGAAGAAGTTCTCAGAACGACGCGGCCGCATCTGGAGCTGGTGGTACTGTAGTGATGAGTGGAACGCGACACGGAGGAGTTCAAATGAGAGCTCAGCCGACGAGTCGACAAGCTGCGATCAGTTTGTTGCAACCGCCGAGTTATAAGCCTTGTAAGACCATGATCCATGGGTACAGTAATCTGAATTCCTTGATTTTCAGCATCCAACACCACACAAATCGCTCAAATCCCGCCATTGTTCAATAGAAACTCTACTGCAACCTCGTCTACAAACCAACCATCGTCTGGAATCACTGCTGGAACACGGAAGATTGATCCGAAGGGACGTATTCCGTTGAATTCAGCTGCTGTGCAATCGCATAGAACTGCGACTGGAGCCGTTGCGGCCAACACTGGCGGCATCCCAAGTCAACGCGACCACTCACAACAACAACAGCAATATATGAATCAGTTGACGTCATCGTCGATGATGTCCAAATTGATCAATAAGACGCCTGCAGCTGGTGGTGCCAACGCAACAACATCTGCAACGTCAGCAGCAGCAGCACCGCTTCAGAAGTCTGGCTCTCAAATATCACATGCCCCTACGGAGCCAGTGATTCGTGAAGACGATGATGAGAGCAATAGCGAGCATCAGAATGGAAATGTGCCACTTATTGGTGGTGTCGGACCACAGACATCTCCAGTTGTAGCGCCATCAGAAGACGTCACATCTTCAGAACAGCAGAAGCAGGAGAAGGCGTCAAGTGAAGCGCCAAAGGAGACGAAGTGAGTTTTTGATTACTTGTTCGATGCACCTGAAAGATCACCTACACGCAGTTATAATGCTTATTCTGCACCTTTTTGAAATTTCAAAATCGACGAGAATATCGTAAAACCTCTATTAGAAGGACCGGCACTCCTATTGGTCCGATACCTCCGGAGGGCCCTTCTATTAGAGGGGCCCTTCTATTGAAGGTGTCCCTTGTTTTACGAAATATTTTTCAAGAAAAATGTTTTTGGCTCTCAAAAAAAGCGAAAAAAAAAATTAAAAATCACCTTCTGCACCTCCACCCCATAGTATGGCCATACACACAGCTAACTCGTCTTCTTATCATATCTTTTCCCCATCCTTAACAGTATTTTTGGGATTTTTAAATATTTTCAAAAAATTGGGGTCGGGAAGCTATTCCATCTATACGAAGCATTGTTTCTTATTACCTCTGTCGCGTTGCAAATTTTTCCAAAAAATTGAAAAATGACCACATGACCTCAAAAAGTTACCGCATTCCACTGTTTCAGCACTCTCTCTTTGATATATATTTTTTCAGATTTTTCACTTTTTCCTCTTTTTTCTAGCCTAATCCTTAGTTTCCTTTTTCTTTACCACTAACTCTTATTTGCGCATTTTTTGGCTCCTGGACGTTTCGGAGCGAGCCACGACATTTCAGAACCCGACGTTTCAGAACTTTTCTGTATTACATCGGGTTCTGTAACGTCGGTTTCTAAAGTGTCGGGTTCGGAAACGTCGGGTTCCAAAACGTCAAATTCCGAAACGTCCAGGAGCCGTTTCCCTCGTTTATTCTAGTTGCTGCTGGAAAAATCGCTCCATTGAGATGGTATTATCAATGGAGCGAACTTGCCAACTTGACTAAACGAATCTCCATTTTTTGATTTTAATCGGTTGTGTGTATGGTTCGATGTTCGTTCGTTTCTTTGGTCTAGTTTTCCCGTCCCCATGACAAATTCCCTCAAATTTCCTTTAATTTTTCCTGCATGCTCTCTTTCTCTTCTGTCTCCCCGTCCTTTCTTTTTTTCAATGTCTTTTCCCCCCGTTCCCCATTTTATGTTTCCAAAGTCCTGCATGCTTTTCTTAAAGTTTCTTGGCTGAAATTGATTGTTTTTTTGTGACCGTTTAGAGTGTGCTCCTTTCGTTTCCAGCCCCCTCATCTGGCAAAATTTGCATCTCAACAGCCTTCTGAAGTCGCTCCTGGAATCGACGTCATCTGCGTCCTCTTCAACAACATCGTCCACAACAGAAACCCCAAGACGGCCATCAGAAGCGCTATCAGAGCGGCATTCAGAGCCGCCAGCTCCGTCCCAACGCCGACGTCATCAGACAATGGTTGTAGACTCGAGACACCTTCAAACGCCACCGAACTCCGGTCGGACGTATCCAGATGACACGACACTGGATCGTCAGATGCGTGCACTTTATGTGTCCACTGCCGCTTCTCGAGTGCCACGTGGCGTTCTTCCGACACCGCCAACGTCGAACTCGACGTCGTCAAGTGTGATTGTGGAACCGCAAACCGCGCCGCCGGTGATGTCTCCATTAAAGACGACGTCGCCATACTTCAAAAGAACGTCGTCGTTTAGAATGGTGCATAGTTTTTTCTACTTCTTTTTTTGATTGCTCGAAATTCCTCTTCTCTCTGACTACCATCGTTTTTTTATTTCACAAAAATTTTGTCGTTTTTGAGAGTGTTGTGTTTTGTAGAGGGCGGTTTTTTGAGGTTGTTGTGGTTGGTCATTTTTGATTTTTTTTGGAAAAAAAATTGAAAAAATTTGAACATTTTGCGCGGGGAAAGTTACTTTCCGAAAGTATCGGAGGATCGTACTAAATACATACTTTTTTGGTCCGAAAAATATTGTCGATTTTCTGTGGTTTTGGCTGGAAATGATTGGAAAAATGGCCGAAAATTGTCAAAAATTGGTTCCGAATTTCAGATATTTTGAAAGTCTAAAAATTTAACAATCAGAAAATCTGAGATTCGGAAATTTTAATAATCTGAAATTTTGAAGTTGCCTTATTCTGGGATTCTGGGGTTCTGAAATTTTGTGAATCTGAGATTCTGATATTTGGAAATTTCGAAATTCTGAGGTTCTGATATTCTGAGATTCTGAAATTTGAAGTTTCTGAAATTCTGATATTTCAAATGTCTGAAAATCTGTGATTCCCCAATTCTAAAATTTTGAAATCCTGAGAACCTGAGAATCAAATTCCGAAATTTCGAAATTCTAAAATTCTTAAATGTGTAGTTTCTGAAATTCTGGCACTTAAGAAGGCAAAAAACTCAGATATTCTGAGATTCTGAGACTCCGAAGTTCAGAAATTTAAAAATCTTAAAACCTAGAAAAAAGTCCCTTGTCCCGTCCATGTCATCGGTAATCTCTATTCATTTCTAGGCCGTCGATGATCCACCAATCGCCATCGATGCCTCCATCGCAGATGATGACAGCGATGGAGTCTCTGAAACTGAGCGAGAGTGGCGGGAAATCACCGAGCAACAGCCAACAGCCACCACAACGAGCCACCTCCCAACAAATGTCTCGTTCGGCTACCACTAACAGTGCAGCCAATATGGCCAGCAATCAACAATCATCGGGTGCTCCTCAACAATCGGGTGCTTCTAGTCAGGTACGTCATTTTTCGATATTTTTCGGTGCATCAGTTTTTTCTCCTCCTATCGGTTTAAATAATATTTATTTTATACATGAGAATAATAGAATGCGCAGATTGCCTGATAGCTTATCATATCCCTAAAGCATTCCCTTATGTGCAACCCTTTGATAGCCTTTTACCCTTTGTTGTAAACCTGGTTTTTTAGACTTACAACGGGCCGGGCCGACCGCGGCACGGCCCGTAATTTTTGATTACATGTAGATTGATGGAATGAGAGTGCAGAGAGTTTCAGGATGTTCTTCTACTATTTCTTTTCTATCTTTGAGTTTTTTGCATCCCTTCAAATTCTTTTGAAGCTTCAATTCCAGCTTCAGAATTTAGCAATTTCAGCAACAGCAATGTCATACGAAGCCATCATCAACTTCCTCTTCTTCTTCCTCTTCAACAACGGCACCAACGTCTTCTGGCCAACCACATCATCAGCATCAACTAACCCATAACGCGTCGTTCTCAGTGACCCCGTCCGCGTATCAGATGCCGACGACGACAACGATCACGTCTGGAGCGCCAACGTCTTCATCGGCGTTCCCCAGAAACACTAGAAATCGGCAAACGTTCCATGGAAAGACCGAAAAGGATAAGGTAGCGTTTTTCTTGGTTTCCTTTGATTTTTTTAAAGATTTTTTTAAAACAACCAACAAACTTATCAACCCAAAAAGAACTTTTCACTACTTTTCCAATTACGCTGAACACCACCCTGTTCCTTGATTTTTCTCTTTTTTTTCTCGCCTTTTTGTGTCTTCCAAAATGTCCGTCACGTTCCAAAAGTTTTTTGAACAAAAAGAAAGTGTGCAGTTCTCACCACTGGTGGTGTGTCCTTTTTCCGATTTGTGAACGTCCTACAAGGCTACAGCTTCTTTTGCATAGCTTCAATTTTTTCGAATTCTCAGAGCGAGAATTGCGCCAAACGATTTTTAGACATGATTTGTTTTATAACCATTGCTATGCTCAGAATAGGCTATGCCCAAAATTTAGTTGCCTTTAAACGAGTTGAAAAATAGGAACAGGGTGACAATAGTGACAAAAATTACAAAACTATTTCACTCAACGCAGCAGTATCCTTACCTGTCGCGCTAGCCGATTACTCCCAGGTGAGTGACCGGCTAGCGCGACAGCAAGAAAATTCTCCTGTCGCTCTAGCGGTTCACTCATCGACCAGTAAGCGGCTAGCGCGACAGGTGAATTTTCATGCTGTCGCGCTAGCGGCTTACTCGTAGATGAGTGAACGGCTAGAGCGACAACATGATGTTGCTACTGTCGTGATAGCGGTTCACTCATCTACGAGTAAGCGGCGCGCGCGACAGCTGAAAATTCTTGCTGTCGCGCTAGAGAAGATTTCTAGAAAAATAAAATCTTGCATTTTCGGAGCTTAACTTTAGGACCCATGGTCCTTGATAACTTTATGAGTTCTCATTTAACTTTTAACCTGTTCATAATTGAAATTTCTTAATTTTCAACCATAAAACCTGTATTAGAAGGGCACCAGAAAAAATCCATTCTAGGAGCAAAAACGCGTCTCTCTATGTCATTCTAAACCAGGTTTTAGGATCTCTCTACTTCCTCCCAACGCAGTATTTTTTTTCAGGGCGGAGACGATGGATCTGACGAGATTGGCGACACTCCAGCCAACGTATCCATTGGTGCGACTGGTGCGTCGGCTAACAACACGGAGGGAACGATTTGGAGCAAATTGAGCAAATTGACGAGACGGTTCGTGCATCGAAAACTTTAAATTCAAAATTTTTTGATTTTTTTCGAAAAAATTTGGGGCCCCCATATTAACTTGTCCATTCTATACCATCCCATAATCACACCACACCACACCCAACTAACTGAAAATTTAAAAAAAAACTAGAGTAATTCTTTGGGGTAAGTACATTCTCCCGGCCTAGCTATGTTCTAATTTTCACTCCTGGTTAATCACCCTAATTAAGTAATTAAAGGGATTTTTCTAGACTCCGCCCCCTCATATCTCTTTTTCTAAAAAGTGCATGTAAAATTCTATGTTTTTTATTCTCTCCCCGGTGCCTGATTTTTAATTTTTCCTCAAAAATAATTTTTTCGGTTTTATAATTTTGATGTAATTCAATTTTTTTTTCTGGTCTTTTTCAATTAATTTTCAGCACGCCATCTCTGTTTCTGTTCAATTTCTCCATAAAGTGCTTGTGTTTCGTTTTTTTTTGTCTTATTTTTGTGTTTACTAACCAATAGGTAATTTTGTTTTTACTAACCAATTGGTAATCCGTTTTTTTTATGATGAGCAATCCACTTCCCCCTTCGAATAGCACCTAAAAATCACACCACCACCCCTCTAAAAAACGAATGCTCTGGGCACACACCTACTACTACTCATTTTCCTATCTTTCGTATTGTTACAGTAGCAGCACGGCGGCCGCCCATCAACCACGTGGATCTTCACTTCATCATTCGATGTCGATGACACAAAGGTATCCATCCTGCAAGCTTTGCTGCCGCCTACAATACCCCTCAGCTACCGAATGTTGTTGCTCTTTTGCTCTGCATTGATGTTTTTAAGCATGCTTGATTTTTTGCTAGTTGCTCGCGCTGCCTCTTGTTGCTAGAAAAAGTATGTTTTCCTTCTTCTCCCGCTTCTCCTGAATCCTCTGAATCCACCTGGAACCGGCACGTCTTCTCAAAAACCACTTCTACTAGACAACTGGATTCTAGGCCATCTCAAGTTGTGTCGTCATCGTCTTCACCGTTCAATTCCTCCTCTGTTGTGGTCCCGCCCCTCCGATCCAAGCCTCCATTCGGCGCCAAATCCGCGACGACGACGTCTTCTAATTCTGCCACGTCATCTTTGATCGGACTGTTCAATGGAGGAAATGTGTCAGCATCGAATCGAAGACAATTGACACCAGCGGCGGCGGTTTTTAGAAGGCATGGCATTCTATTATGGCTTCTTCTTTCTCTTTTCTACGTCTTTTACACTTTTCTCCACTTCTCGTTTTTGAAAGAATTTTTAGAGTTTGAGATTTTCTGGTTTTCCTATCGTTAGAACTCTGTCGCTTTCTCAAGATCCTTGCGCGCTAGGCTCCGCCCACTCCCCCTCCAGAGCTCTCTAATCCTCTGAAATTTTGCAGAGACCACAATAGAGAGAGTATGACCCAGCCGGTATCCAGCAGAGCTGGAACCATCGGAGCCGCTCAGGGACAGCAGACTGCTGCCGCTCTGGCAGCGATTCGAGAACAATCGTCGGGACCACTGACGCCTGGAAGTCAGAGTCAGGGTGGAACAGCACCACCAGTAGCACAAGCGATGACACAAGAAGGAGACGTCAAGCCACGATCGTTGAGATTCACGTGGAGTATGAAGACGACGTCGTCGCTGGCGCCGGATGACATGATGAGGTTGGTTTTGGAGATTTTGCAGTTTTTTAAATTCTGAATTTCTGAAATCTGAAAGTATGACTATGAGATTCAGAATTTCGAGCACGTGAAATTTCAAAATTCTAGAAATTCTGAAAATTAAAAAATTTTTAATGTCTAAATTCTTCAAAAATTGAAATTCAAAATTTTCAGAGTCTGAAAAAAAGTCTGAAAGTGTGATACACTCGCTAGAAGATTCAGAATTCCGAGGGTCTAAAACTCGAATATTTTTTCAAAAATTCAGAATTACAAATTCTTCAAATTGAATGAATTTTCAGAGAAATTCGAAAAGTGTTGGACGCGAACGGTTGTGACTACGAGCAGCGAGAACGCTACATGATTCTGTGTGTGCACGGCGATCCGAATACGGATTCGTTGGTTCAGTGGGAAATGGAGGTGAGCTTTCTTTTTTGGAATTTTGAAAATTGAAAAATTGGTCTGAGGCAGTATAAAATGGCTGGAAATGCTCTGAAATCGGTTTAAAATGGTCTAAAAACGACTGAAAATGGATGAAAATGATCTGTAGTCTTAAAAATGGCCTAATTGGCCTAAATTGGTCTAAAACGAAGCTCAATCTACAATCCTTCTGGAATTCAACTCTGAAGCCAGTGTAAAATCTTGAAATCAGTTTTTTTGGGGTTCCGAAAATCGAAAAATCGGTCTGAAACAGTCAAAAATGACTTAAAGTTCTCTGAAACAGGTCTAAATAGGTCTGAAAATGACTGAAAATGACAAAGAAGGGTCTGAAGTAGGTCCGAAATAGTCTTTAAATTTATCTAATTGGCCTAAGTCGGCCTAAAACGAAGCTAGTTATCATATGAAAATGGACCTGAAATGCTCTGAAATCAGTCTAAAGACAACTGAAAACAGCCTAGGAATGGCTGAAAATAGCTTGAAACTGGTCTAAAGTGGCCTAAATTAGTCTTAAAAATGACCTAATTGGCCTCACTGAGCTTTAAAAATTACCTGATTGGCCTAAAATGAAGCTAATGTCTATATGAAAATGACCATAAAAATGACCCTCTGAAATCAGTAAAATCCTAAAATCCCAAAAATCATTTCCAGGTCTGCAAACTGCCACGTCTCAGTCTGAATGGTGTCCGATTCAAGCGGATATCTGGAACGTCGATAGGATTCAAAAACATTGCGTCGAAGATAGCACAGGAGTTGAATCTCTAATCCTCTCTCTCTCTCTCACTTATTTTTTCTCTCTAATCGCCTCACGTTCTTATCCAATTTTTATCCATTTCGTCTCTCGTCTCGTCAAGACTAAAATTTCAGTGAAAATCAGCTGAAATTCTGTTCCATCCTATCCTCCTCCTCCTCCATCAGTACGGTTCCCTATCTCCTTATTCCCCATTTTTTGGACCATTTTGAAAGTAGAAGAAGAAGAAGAAGCTCCGCCCCTTTATCATTATCATTGTTTTATAAAATATTCCATTTTTATTATATATATTTTTCTTCCCCCTCCTCCCGCCCCTTTTTTTCACATCGCCTCGCTGCTTCAAAACATTTGCATTTTCGAAAAAAAAAAACAAACAATTTCTCCCCACCCGGATGATATAACCCCCACACAACCAACCAAAAATATGAATATAAATATTTTTTTATGAAAATTTATGAAAATTCTTGTCTCCTTGTCTCTTCTCGCTCCGCCCCTTTTTTATATTATTCGCTCTTTTCCTATTTTTTCTCGACTAGGGTATTCATCGCGTTTCTTCTTTTTTTTTGTCATTATTATTATTATGGTTTTCCCTATTTTCCTCCTTTTGTCTTCTTCTATCGTCTAACTAATTACAGTAGTCATTTTCTTCCTCCCAAAAATTTTCATACATCCCTCACCCCACCCCCACAAAGAATCCGAAATTCTTCACCCGCCGCCCATTTGTTTTTTTCCTTGCGCTCTCTGTGATGATCAAATGAAGAAATGCAAATTATTTATTTTCTATGAATCTCAATTTGTAGAATCCGTAGAATTGAAGACTTCTAGATCCTCGAATTTCAATGTTCCATCACAACCGAGATAGTATTGACGAGCGGCTTGATGCTGCAAGGAAAATCGAAAATTTGGATTTTCAGAAAAACATACAGACCTCATGGAAAATTGGCAGTAATCCAGGATCGCAATGTTTCTGAACTTGTGGCAATAGACAGTCTTCCAAGGATTTTGTATTTTCACAGGTCCATTTTTTGGGAGCATCCTAAACTTTACAAAAAAAGTTTTTAACGGAAAAAAAGAGTCAAAAACCCACCTTCTCCAGATAATCGACAACACATGAAGGCAGGATTCCTGGCGAGTTTTTGTTGAAATCCTTCAAAATTTTGTTGCAAAAACTCATGGGACCAATAGAAAAAGCGTCATGGGAACATCGATCAAATGTCTCGAATAAAACGTAGTCTTTGTAGCATTTTGTATTTTCCATGCATACCTGAATAATGGGTTACGGTAGAAAATAAGGTATAATTTGTTAGAGATATTTAATTTAATTTATTGACCAGTTGAATAAAACATTAGAGGGCAGGACATGAAAGACTCAGAAAAAATGCCCCTCACGAAGCCGATCTGAGTAGGGGAGGGGAAACGGGATAATTTAGATATTTGACACAAGAAAGATGTAACCGGTAGAAAAGGAAAAATAGGGAGCAAATATATCAATAACGGGTAATACTGGAAGAATGTCAGAGAACTTCGGCACTCTTCTAGAATCACGGAACGAAAATTTTGGGTAATCCAATAAACTGCTATCTTCTTTACTTTGACAAGTAGTATTCGTAATACTAACTTTGGCATCAATTTTACTTTGTCCAATACCCAAAAGTATACTAAAAAAGGGTTTATCAATTTCTTAAGATACGCTAGTTAACAGGTTACATAGGACCTGTAGAACATTTGAAAATTCAGTTTAAAGCTACATCAAGCAGTTATTGAGCTTGCTGACATTTTAGGGTGTTCCAGATAAAAGAAGCATGGCGTTTCAGCCTAAGCCTGTGATTGAAGAAAGCTTCCTCAATCCAAAAATATCATCCAATTTTTGAAAAATGAGAAATCCGAGACAAGAAGTTTCATGCCAAGATTTCTACTCAATTCGGCCCAAGGCTATTCTTATTCCGGACCAATATTTTGTTCCAAGAAGACTAACTTTGAATTAGAAAAGATTTCTTCAATTATAGACTTAGGCTGAATCATCGTGTTTCCCCCAGAACATCTGGGAAAGGTCCTATGTACACTATCAACTAGTGTACCTTAAAGGTGGGGGGACAGGAGATTTTCGGTAGTTTTTTTGTAGCTAGAGTATGCATTCTACCGTCACGGTGTACAACGCTTAATGTCACTCTGCGTACAGCCGGCGTCTTCGCCTTTATGTATGCAATCGGGCGCCGGCTCTTTGCCCGCGTGGCTCAGTCGGTAGCGGCGCCGCACTCTCAATCCTCGCCCCCGCTAGCTCAACTCCTCGAGGGGCATATTCAGACGGAATTTCGAGAACATTATTTTTTTTCTTGTCTCCCCACCTTTAAGGACTCAATATACCACATTTCGGGTGTCATTTTGGATACTGAGCGAAGAAAATGTAATGTCAATGTTAGATCTCTGGATAGTACTTGAATGAAGATCCTAGCAATTTTTGGATTACCCAAAATTTTCGTTCCGTGATTTTATTTTTCGTTCCGTGGTTTTTTTTCGTTCCGTGATTCTAGAAGAGTGCCAAAACTTCTAACTGGTAGAACTTGTTCCATGATTTCTGACATGATTTATCAGTTGAACTATTTCCGATAACGTTTGTAGTGTTTGTTAGAGATTTCCTTGTCTGCGTTTTTCAGCCTTTTATTTCAGACTGTGGTTCAGCCTGACCAAAATTCGCCAACATTTTGTTAAAATTGTGTAAAACTTAAATTAAAAACTGAAAATTGGTAGTTAAATACAATTCACATGTTTTGAAATAGGCTAAAAATGTGAAAATTGGACAAAAACAGCCTAAAAGGCAAAAAAGCTGAAATAATCAGTTTAACCTTTTCCGGTACCTTTGTGCAACATGTAATAGAATGAGACCCCTTTTAATGTTAAAACATTGACCTAATTTATTTTGGTTCATGTGGAAGATATCAAAAAATAATCAACTAACAAAATTTTTCTGACATCATGCTAAACATTTTGTTAGTTGATCACTTTCTTATACCTCTTACAGTATCCGAGATAATCAGCCTCAAAGTTACCTTATCTATAATAAACCTACATAATAATCATCGCAATGTTTTGTTATTTCTGTCAGATTCCACGATTTGGTTTTTCCAGGGAACCAAGAGATTGAAAAGCGCCGGAACCAAGATTTCATGCCTTCCTGAAATTTGAAACGATTCAGTTGAAACTCAAATTTTACAGTTGTGACAATAACTGGGCTATCCGGTTCATAAATTTGACTAAAAATCGTTGAAACAGCAAGAAGGATCATTAAAGTTGTTAATTTCTGGGAACTCCTTGAATCTTGAAAAAAAAACTCCCGAGCTCGAAAACCCCAATGATTTGGCCCATTTCAGATGTTACCATAATTGAAAAACTTGACAGATTGCTTACCGTAAAACCAAGAAGAGCCCCCCCCCCACACAGCCAAGTTTGAGTCCATGTTTCTCAATAAAATATTGGTGATATTATGATGAACAACTTACCAGTTGTCAAATTTTTTATATCTTTCCCAGAAACCGAGAAAAATTAGCTCAAAGTAGAAAGAAAGGGGGTATTTTTATTACAGGTTTTACGGTATGTGTTTCATCTGAATCCTTCTGTGATACTTACGAAAAACCAGCACTGACTGACAGCAAGCCTCTCCTCAACGTTGTTCCTGTCACGACATGACTCTTTCAGACGAAACTCCCGATCCCAATTGGGTCTTCTATATTTGAAGTGACATGAAACTAAAGTTAAAAGTAGGAGAATAACAAGAAAACGGAGGGCACAGGTCATTTGAAACTGAATGTTGTGGAGAACTTTTTTCTGGCTCAACGTCACAGTGTCAGAGCTGAAGAAAAGGGACGAGAGATAACAGCTGCTAGAGGAGGAGACAGATTAACAAAGATAAAGTTATCACTCATAACTTATGACTTGTTTTTCAGAAAAATGTCTAGTTTGATAGCTCCATTCAGAATGAAATCTTTCAGAAACTATTGAAAATTAATTCATTTTTTAGAAATAAAATTTTTTATAAAATCTCAATTTCAGTCGAATTAGTAGTAGAATTCGCGATGACATTTTCGATATCCTTGAATTTCAATTTGCCATCACAACCGAGATAGTACTGACGAGCGGCTTGATGCTGCAAAAATCAAACATTTGGATTTCCAGAAAAACATACAAACCTCATTGAAAATTGGTAATAATCCAGGATCACAATGTTTCTGAACTTGTGGCAATAAACAGTCTCCTAAGGACTTTGTATTTTCACAGGTCCATTTCTTGGGAGGAGCCTAAATTTTATTATTTTTCAAAGAATAAAAGAAGAACAAACCCACCTTCTCCAGAAAATCGACAACACATGAAGGCAGAATTCCTGGCGAATTTTTGTGGAAATCTTTCAATTTTTTATTGCAAAAACTCATGGGACCAATAGAAAAAGCGTCATGGGAACATCGATCAAATGTCTCGAATAAAACGTAGTCCTTGTAGCATTTCGTGTTTTCCATGCATACCTGAATAATGGATTACGGTAGAAAATAAGGTAAAATTTGTTAGAGACGTCAAAAACGACATTTTTTCCGGTACCGTTTGTAGGAATTTAGATAATTAACTTTCCACTTTCATCAACTTTATCTTAGTTCATTTCAATGATGTCAGAAAAAGGTCAACTGCCAAAATGTCTCTGATATCATGCTAAACATTTTGTTAATAGACCACTTTTTGATGACTCTCACAGTAACCGAGATAATCAGTTTCAAAGTTACAATATCTAACAAACCTACATAATAATCATTGCAATGATCTGTTAATTCTGTGAGATTCCATGACTTGGTTTTTCCAGGGAACCAAGAGATTGAAGAGCGTCGAAACCAGGATTTCATGCCTTCCTGAAAATTTATTGTAATTTCGATTTTTAAATTACGAAAATTAACAAAACCACTCCATTTTCAGAGTACTCACAAAAAACCAACACCGACTGACTGCATTTCTCCCCTCCGTCTTGTCCCTTTCAAGGCATGAGGCCTTTAGACGAGCCTTTTGATACCAATTATGTCGATTATCATTATCAGTTGATAACCTACAGAATACTAAGCTTGTAGCTAGAAGAATAGTTAGGAAGAAGGGAACAGAGGTCATTGAGGATGAAGTTTGTTTTTGAAGCAAAAGCGGGAGGAATCAAGTGATAACAGGTGTTAGGGGGATGAGAAGGATAAACAAGAAAAATGACTTCTATTTTAAAATATGTAATGTCGCTTGGAACCACTGGAAGTTGTGTTTTCATTGTTTGTAAACCTCGATCAGATTAAATTGATTTCGAACCCTTTTTTGTATTTTCAGCTACCGTATTCGCTTTAATTTTTGTATTTTCAGCTACCATATTCGCTTTAAGAAGTTCACCCTATACGTTTACTTTGAGCTCAATTACCTCTGCTCCTAGACATCATATCAAAAAGTGGTCAACTAACAAAATATTGGTGATACTATGATAAATATATTATCAGTTGACCAGTTTTTGGTATCTTTCACAAAAAATGAGATATAAAGGCTCAAAGTTGTCGGTTAGGAGGGTGTTTTTACATTCCAAACTTACCCAAAACCAGCAAAGCCGAACCGAATTCCTTCCCGATGGATCGTCTCTTTTCAGACATTTCTGCTTCAAACGGTTCTTTTCATACCAATTGTAATTCTCCTTATCCGTACCAAACCGTCCCGATGCTTCATGATTCAGAAAAATGAGAAGGAAGACGAGTAATTTGAGGATGGAAGCCATTTTTTGAATAAGTGGAGAGAAAAGCTGACTAGCGGTTTGTTATTGAAGCAAGGCAAAAGATCAAGGTGTCAGCTGTTCTCCGAAGAATTGAGATTGATTTGTCTGAAAATCCTGGGCAAAGCAAAAGTGTCATACTTTGAAAATGAAAAGTTTATTATTGGAATCTTAATTTTTCAACAGAATGAATCATCTTCCAGGGAGTGGAAGCGGTGGAACTGGTGGTCCCGGATCTCTCTTCTCGATACGATCTGCATGTGGAGGTGGTGGTGGATGGTCCGGGGGTCCTGGTGGACTATCTCTTTTGGCTTTTGGTCCTGGATCTGGCACACTGTCTCTCTTCACGATGAGATTCTTTGGATCAGGGGATGGTGGTGGATGATCTGGTGGTCCTGGTGGACTATCCCTCTTGTATCGAACATCATCCACTGGTCTTGCAAATACATAGACCGCCAATGCGGCGAATAACAAAACAGCGATCAACAAATTCATTGTCGAACTGACTCGGCTGTTGTTTCCCGTCTCGTTTTATACCATTTTCTGAGTAACCTTGAATACTGGTTTACAAAGAAATAGAATCAAGAAGAAAGATAGCGGATTTAGTTTCCTTATTTGAAAACATTTAGATTTGAGTGAGATGAATTTTTTCAAACCACTGAAATTATACACAAACAAGTTTTTTGATGCGAAAATACAAATTTATTACAGACTTTTACAGGGAGTGTACACATTATTAAAATATCAGAAGTTTCTAGCGAATAATACGATGTTGATAATATTACGTTTATCAAAACATTGTCTTTCGTTTAGCGACTCGTTTACCAGAAGAACAGGAAACGATGGTCATTACCTTCGGCTGAGAGGTCCTTTGGATTACGATCTCCGGCGGCTCTCTGTGGACGCATTTGCTCTTGGTTGGCTTCGGCAGAGAAGAGGTCCTTCTCGTGACGATCTCCAGCGGCTCTGGATGGTCGTTGTTGTTGGGCATCAGCTCCTTGAGTCTTGGATTGTTGTCCGGCGGCTCTGGATGGTCTCTGCTGCTCGGCTTCAGCTCCTTGGGTCTTGGCTCCGGCGTTGGCATCTAGTCCTTGAGTCTTGGCTCCAACTTGGGCGGCAGCTCTGGCTGGGCGGTGTTGTTGAGCATCAGCTCCTTGGGTCTTGGATTGCTGTTCGGCGGCTCTCTGTGGACGCATTTGCTCTTGGTTGGCTTCAGCGGAGAACAGGTCCTTCTCGTGACGATCTCCAGCGGCTCTGGATGGTCTCTGCTGCTCGGCTTCAGCTCCTTGAGTCTTAGCTCCGGCATTGGCATCAAGTCCTTGAGTCTTGGCTCCAACTTGGGCGGCAGCTCTGGCTGGGCGGTGTTGTTGAGCATCAGCTCCTTGGGTCTTGGATTGCTGTTCGGCGGCTCTCTGTGGACGCATTTGCTCTTGGTTGGCTTCAGCGGAGAACAGGTCCTTCTCGTGACGATCTCCAGCGGCTCTGGATGGTCTCTGCTGCTCGGCTTCAGCTCCTTGAGTCTTAGCTCCGGCGTTGGCATCTAGTCCTTGAGTCTTGGCTCCAACTTGGGCGGCAGCTCTGGCTGGGCGGTGTTGTTGAGCATCAGCTCCTTGGGTCTTGGATTGCTGCCCGGCGGCTCTCTGTGGACGCATTTGCTCTTGGTTGGCTTCAGCGGAGAACAGGTCCTTCTCGTGACGATCTCCAGCGGCTCTGGATGGTCTCTGCTGCTCGGCTTCAGCTCCTTGAGTCTTAGCTCCGGCATTGGCATCAAGTCCTTGAGTCTTGGCTCCAACTTGGGCAGCAGCTCTGGCTGGGCGGTGTTGCTCAGCTTCAGCTCCCTGAGTCTTGGATTGCTGTCCGGCGGCTCTCTGTGGACGCATTTGCTCCTGGTTGGCTTCAGCAGAGAAGAGATTCTTTGGCTTGCGTTCTCCGGCTTCTCTCTTCATTGGCTTGTGCTGGTCAGCTCCTTGAGTCTTGGATTGCTCTCCGGCGGCACGAGATCCACGGTGTTGCTCAGCTTCAGCTCCTTGGGACTTGGATTGTTGTCCTGCGGCTCTAGCTGGTCTCTGTTGTTGGGCTTCAGCTCCCTGAGTCTTGGATTGTTGTCCGGCGGCTCTAGCTGGTCTCTGTTGCTCGGCTTCGGCTCCTTGAGTCTTAGCATGAACTTCAGCAGCTCTGGCTGGGCGGTTTTGTCCTGCGTCGGCTTCAGCAGAGAAGAGATCCTTTGGCTTGCGTTCTCCAGCTTCTCTCTTCATTGGCTTATGTTGGTCGAGTCCTTGAGTCTTTGATTGATCTCCGGAGGCTCTGGATGGTCTCTGTTGCTCGGCTTCAGCTCCTTGGGTCTTGGCTCCAACTTGGGCGGCAGCTCTGGATGGGCGTTGTTGGGTGTTGATGTCAGCAGATTGAGATCCCTTTCCAGCATTGTCTCCGGCGGCACGAGATCCGCGGTGTTGCTGTTGGTCGGCTCCTTGAGTCTTAGCTCCAACTTGGGCAGCAGCTCTGGCTGGTCTCTGTTGCTCGGCCTCGGCTCCCTGAGTCTTAGCTCCGGCATTAGCATCAAGTCCTTGAGTCTTGGCTCCGATCTGGGCAGCAGCTCTGGCTGGACGGTGTTGCTCGGCTTCAGCTCCTTGAGTCTTGGATTGTTGTCCGGCGGCTCTTTGTGGGCGGAGTTGTTCCTGATTGGCTTCAGCAGAGAAAAGATCCTTTGGCTTGCGTTCTCCGGCTTCTCTCTTCTGTGGCTTGTGCTGGTCGAATCCTTGGGTCTTGGATTGCTGTCCGGCGGCTCTGGCTGGGCGGTGTTCGGCATCAGCTCCTTGAGTCTTCGCTCCAATATTAGCATCGAGTCCTTGAGTCTTGGCTCCAACCTGGGTGGCAGCTCTGGCTGGTCTCTGTTGCTCGGCTTCAGCTCCCTGAGTCTTAGCTCCGGCATTAGCATCAAGTCCTTGAGTCTTGGCTCCGATCTGGGCAGCAGCTCTGGCTGGACGGTGTTGCTCGGCTTCAGCTCCTTGAGTCTTGGATTGTTGTCCGGCGGCTCTTTGTGGGCGGAGTTGTTCCTGATTGGCTTCAGCAGAGAAAAGATCCTTTGGCTTGCGTTCTCCGGCTTCTCTCTTCTGTGGCTTGTGCTGGTCGAATCCTTGGGTCTTGGATTGCTGTCCGGCGGCTCTGGCTGGGCGGTGTTCGGCATCAGCTCCTTGAGTCTTGGCTCCAATATTAGCATCGAGTCCTTGAGTCTTGGCTCCAACCTGGGCGGTAGCTCTGGCTGGTCTCTGTTGCTCGGCTTCAGCTCCTTGAGTCTTGGCTCCAGCATTGACATCGATTCCTTGAGTCTTGGCTCCGACTTGAGCGGCGGCTCTGGCTGGGCGGTGTTGCTCAGCATCGGCTCCTTGAGTCTTGGATTGTTGTCCGGCGGCTCTTTGTGGGCGGAGTTGTTCCTGATTGGCTTCAGCAGAGAAAAGATCCTTTGGCTTGCGTTCTCCGGCTTCTCTCTTCTGTGGCTTGTGCTGGTCGAATCCTTGGGTCTTGGATTGCTGTCCGGCGGCTCTGGCTGGGCGGTGTTCGGCATCAGCTCCTTGAGTCTTCGCTCCAATATTAGCATCGAGTCCTTGAGTCTTGGCTCCAACCTGGGCGGTAGCTCTGGCTGGTCTCTGTTGCTCGGCTTCAGCTCCTTGAGTCTTGGCTCCAGCATTGACATCGATTCCTTGAGTCTTGGCTCCGACTTGAGCGGCGGCTCTGGCTGGGCGGTGTTGCTCAGCATCGGCTCCTTGAGTTTTGGCATTTACTTGGGCGGCCGCTCTAGCTGGACGCTGCTGCTGAGCGTCAGCTCCTTGGGTCTTGGATTGTTGTCCTGCAGATCTGGCTGGTCTCTGTTGCTCAGCATCGGCTCCTTGAGTTTTAGCTCCGGCATTGGCGTCAAGTCCTTGGGTCTTAGCTCCAACCTGGGCGGCAGCTCTAGCTGGGCGGTGTTGCTCGGCCTCGGCTCCTTGGCTCTTTTGTTGCTCTCCGGCGGCTCTGGCTGGGCGATGTTGGTCCTGATCAGCAGAGAAGATGTCCATTGATGGTCGGTCTCCTGAGAATCTCTTCACTGGCTTTGGTTCGACTTGGGGAGTTTGTGCATCTCCAGAAGCTCTGGATCCTCGGTGTTGATCGGCATTTTGATCAGGAATGTTTCGAGCATGAGAATAGACCGCAAGAGCGGAAAGGCAAAGGAAGGAAAAGACCAGTAACTTCATTGCTGAGTTGATTTGTCTAGTGGATTCGTGTCCCTTTTATACCGAAAACAGTTTCAGTTTGGGCGGTTACCTTTGGATACGGCATTAACAGGTTTTCAGGTAAAGAGTAACGATCAAGGTGAGAGGGGAAGAACCTGGAATCACGTTGTCTCTGTCTTCTCCAGATTCTGTACTCTTGATATCATTCTGTTATTTCCAAATTCTCTCTCCTCCCTCCCATCTCAAGTCGTCGAATCCGATACCTTCCTAGAAGACGTTGTCTGCAAAATTGTGTCGAATGATGTAAATTGTTTTGTTTAGTAAATCACAGTCTCTCCCATCTGTTGACATGAATAGCCAACTGATCGGCCGGATCTGATAAGAAGAGGGTTTTTTGACCACCACTACTCTCTCTTATCTCTCCACTTCTCATTATCTCTCGCTCTCCGTTGCGAATTCATCAAATTGAAACTTGTGTACCTTCTTTGTTAGGTGCATAATACCGCGTCTGTCCGATAGTGTAGTCCATCGTCTTGTTTACAAAAAACAGAATTCTGAAATGATCGGAGTCCTGTTCAGTGACCACCACAAGAAAAGTTGGTTATTGAGATTAGGAGAGAAGAAATTGGAACGTAGTGAGAAGATGGCAGAAACCGGTTTTGGATTTCAAATTTTCCCAGTTGGTGGCCGTTTTAATTTTGAAGTTCTTGGTTTCAAAAAAATTTTTGGTTTTCCAGGTTGCACAGGGAGTTTTGAAGGAAATATTTGCAAAGAAAAAAAAGTTGGAAAACATGTTTTTCAAAATTGCGGAATCATTCTCGCACGAAAATTTCAAAATGTTGTGTTTTTGCACGAAGTGTTGACTGTCCGTATTTTCTATACTTCAACAGGCCGGACTTTTTTCAGAAGTTTCTTGTTTTGGCCCGAGCCAAAAAGTTTGGCTCTTTTCTAGTTTAGAGGTCCCAAAAAATTTAGAGGTCCCAAAAAAAATTAGAGGTCCCAAAAAAGTTTAGAGGCCCCAAGAAAAAATAGAGGCCCGAAATTTGAAAAACGCACAGATATTCGAATAATGTACTAGAATTTGAACTATGTGACTAGTTTGAGTTTTTGGGTCTTATAGGATGATATGACTGCTCCTAACAGTTTTATCTCCAATTCTCTCTTGATGATGAATTCCAATTTACATATAAAGAAGATTTCGGCAATACAGTAATGATTCCATGATTATGCTGTCTCTCAGGCTTAGATAATTATCAGAAAATATGCATTCCTAAGCCTATTAAAAGTATAAAATATATCATCAACAATTATTTTGCTATAAAACCTTAAAACTTTAATTTCTTACACAATTCAAATTCTGGTACATTATTCAAGCATCTGTGCATTTTTAAGTTTTGGACCTCTACTTTTTTTGGGACCTCTGGACTAGAAAAGAGCCAAAAGTTTTCCTGCCTTTTGAAGTATGTTATTTTCTATTCGAAAAAATCAATAAAACATAATTACCTTTTTGAAGTCTCATACTGTATCTCATAGAAAATCCGAAAATTCAATTTTGACTGATTTTTCTTAGTGTTGCTAACATACTTCAAAATTGCATGACACTAGTATAAAAAATCGTAGCTGTAGAAGATAAACTTTGATGACCGTGGCCGGAAGTCCCACAAAGATAATTACAGTAACCTACAAATATTTCCATTTTCCCGATATATTTTCCCAATTTTCGACGTTTTCAGACAATTTTTTCTCAATCAAACATTTTATTTTCAGACTGGCCGGTGGAAAATATCAAGAAAGTAATCTAGAGTAATCAGTAAAAAAAGATAAAATTAACCCTGAAAAGAATAATCCATAAAATCCGAAAAATTCAACTCTGACTGATCTTTTTTTCTTAATTTTAAGACACTGAAAAAGGTGAAGTTAATTTTTTTTAACCAGAATTTTTCCATGTTTTCAGAAATTTTCAATTCAGGTTTCAGTTTCATTTTAATAAATTTTTAACGTCCTCTCGAATAAAAAATTCTGAAACTCATTTTTGAAACTAATTCGTCTATCTTTCATCATTCTCCCAATTATATCCTACCATTCCTTCGCAAAGTTTTACTGCTCCTAATTTTCAGCTATGAGCCAATTTTTCTCGGTTCCTGTCAAAGGTATCAAACATTTGTCAACTGATAAATTGTTTATCATGCAATCACCAATATTTTATCACCGAGATAATTCAGCTCAAAGTGTACGTGTAGAGTGGACAAATTTGCAATTGAGCAAATTTTATTTCAGAAAATCTGAAACTTCTTTTCCAAAATTTAACTTCTCTGTATTCCAAAGATCAAAATACGCTATCGTCAAATTTAAACTTTTCTGTTTACTATCGAACCCAAGAAACCAATCAATTCTAGTACTTGTTTATCTCGGAATCTAACCGATCGAAGTCCTCGATGTTCAGTGACCACACCAAACCATATCCATTTCAAATTCTAAACACACGACTTGATCGTTAACATTTTCAGAAGACCATCTAGAAGGCTGAAGATTCATTTGTGCAAAAAATTGTTTTTCCGGATGGCCCAATCCAGAAACATGTTATTTTGTCAGTTATTTACTAAAATCTGGATAGACTAAATTTTGGTCTGTCTGATTGGGTTTCGTCATCAACGAATTTATCAAGTTGTCTGTTTTTTTGAGGACAGGAAATCTAGAAGAATAAACTGGTTAAAGGGGGAATTCCCCGTCTCGTGTTATTGTGTTTTGATTACTAATAATTTCAGCAAAAATGTTGATACAGAGATCTAACTAAGAACTTTGACTTGTTTGGGTATCTCCTTGGTACGGGTCGGGTGGGGGTCTCGTCTGGACGAACAGACACAAAAAATGGTGAGGGGGTACCTGAATTACGGTCATTGAGGCACTTTTCAAAATAATTTCAAGGCAATTCATGAATACAGTATTGGTCAATAAGATATACAGTGGCGAACGTTAGTGAGTGTCCCTCTATACTTTTGTTCATAACTTTGCTCAAACTTGTCCAATCATCGAAAACTTTTTTGTTAAATGTAGCTGGATATCCAACAAAACGTTGTAAACATTTTTTTTAAACTCAATCAATTTTCGCGTCTTCTGAATCTTCACAGATGTGACGATGACTCCAGAAGGAAAAAATTTTCCGTCAGAATTTTTTTAAAGATTGGTTTTGTAATGAAAAATGTTTGGTGTAAATCAAATATATACAGAAAATAATTTGGAGCGGTTTGGAACACTTGCTCTTGAGATGTGCTCACTGGAGCATGAAAGATATGGTTCAGGAGTTTGGATATATATCGGCTCAGAGTAATTAAAATTTGCTTAAATTTTGAGAGAATGTGTTTTGAACTGTTCTACCATATACATACAAAACTTTGTATTTTGGGAACAAAAAATTTTTCATAATTTGTTCATTTTTGTGTATCAAAAACGAGTAAAAAAAGCAAAACTTTTTTGTTCCCAAAATACAAAGTTTTGTATGTGATTTGTAAAACAATTAAAGATCTATATTTTCTCAAAATTTGAACAAGTTTGAATCATTTTGAGCCGAGTTATAGCCAAACTTCCGAACCATACCTTTTATGCTCCAGTGAGCACATCTCAAGAGAAAGTGTTCCAAACCGCTCCAAATTTTTTTTTCGTATACATTTGATTTACACCAAAAATTTTTCATTACAAAACCAATCTTTAAAAAAATTCTGACGGAAATTTTTTTCCTTCTTGAGTCATCGTCACGTCTGTGAAGATTCAGAAGACGCGAAAATTGATTGATTGAATTTCAAAAAAACTTATATGACGTTTTCTTGAAAATACAGCTACATTTAACAAAAAAGTTTTCAATGATTGGACAAGTTTGAGCAAAGTTATGAACAAAAGTATAGAAGGACACTCACTAACGTTCGCCACTGTACAACAATGTATTTTTCTGTTGATTTTCGGCCATTTTGACAATTTTCGAGAGTCTGAAACTCGTTTGTCAAGTTTCCGATCACTTTAAAGATATAAAACAGATTTAGGTTGAAAACGTTCTATTTACTGAAATTTTGAAAACTCTTAGTTTTTCAGCGATTGCCGGATTTCTGTAAGATACCTGTCTTTTCACATTTTCAGTTCAAAAACAGGCAAAGATCGGATGTCGCTCAGAAATCGGCAAGTAGCTGAAAAACTAGGAATTTTCAAAAATTTCTGTGAATGCAAAGTTTTCAATTCAGGTCTGCTTCACATTCTCCGAAATTTTTCAAATGATCGGAAACTTGACAGCCGAACTATAGACTCCTGAAAATGATCAAACTCAACCGAAAATCTCGCGTTTCTATATCTTATTGACCGGTATTGTGTGAGTTTAAAAAGGGATATTTTTGATTGCTCAGAATGATAATCATTACAAAACGATACAAGTTCATTGACTAGCATAAAATTCGTAACATTCTGGTACAAAAACTAGCAATTTCGAAGCATTTATATCAAAGTGGACTTCAAATTTCCTTCTCCAAAAAAAAACTCAAAAAATTATTTTTGAAAAATTTTGTTATAAAATCAATAAAGTTTGCTAACGAACTCAAAAATCTGAATTGACCTTATTAAGAGCTTCAAAATGAGCTCAAACATGGCTATGCTCCGCCCGTAATTAAGCTTAGGACATCTCAAAGTGAGCGGAGCTTAGTTGTGTTGCTTATTTAGTAGTTCAAATTTTCACAAATTTAATGAAACCAACGAGTTTGTTTCCAATTAAAAAGTTATCAGAAATATTTCAAAGCATAATTTATTTTACTGATAGTGAGGTCAAATATGCGATGTTTTACATGACACGACATGGGAAAGTTTCTAAATTACCGAGAAAAAATAACTCAAATTTATGAGAAGAGATTCTCCATCGTTCCTACTCCACTTCTTTGCCATCCTCTCCAAGTGACCGTCTCTTCGCTGGTGGCTCCTCATCATCGTCGTTTTCGTCATCCTCAGAACTACTCGAATCAGATGAATACGTCGTGGTACAACTTCCACTCATGCTTAATCTCTTCTTCATTTTCTCATCCTGAGCACATTGCAGAGCCTAATGATTAGACGAGTTTGAAGCGTCTCGCACAACAGATTCTCTCCTTCCGTGATGCTTAGCTCCCGCCGTTTCTTGATAGCCGTCGCCAGAAGTTTCTGGAGAGAAACGACGTCGGACGGGTAGTCATCTGAATCTGAATCTTCTGATTCTGGAGGTGACATTTTCATATCAAGACCATAGCGATCGAGTTCATAACGTTCCATTCTGAAACAAACTGAACATTCATAGTTTGATAAGTGTCAAGATCTTGAACTTTTTTTTTCATGCGAAACTCAGGAATCAATAAACTTTACGATAATAATGTTATGGGCGTCTTCGAGGTCATGAAAGTCAATAAATCAATAACAGAAACTCATAAAGGAACGTATGTAAATGACAATACAGGCAAAATTAATAAAAAAGGTGTGTAACACTTATATACAGTACCGTGCAATAAGATATACAATTCGTGTTTTTCAACTGTAACTTTCTTCAAAATAGAGCTGAAGCGTCAAACTTTTTTGTGAAATATAGCAAGTCTCCCAAGAAAAATGAAACAAATGAAACAAACATAAAGAAAAATGAAAAATGAAATGAAACATTCTCTCTCCAACCAACCAAAAAGCACTTCAAATGAATCAAAAAGTGATGGAAATGGTTCCAGGAGAGATGAAGACGTATTTCAGTGTTGATGAGGTCGGAGACAACCAAAATAGTCACTCTGATGCTGCCAACTTTCCAACAGAATTTTTGAATAAAATGACTCCATCAGGATACCACCACACAAATTGAAGCTGAAAGTTGGTGCATTGGTCATGCTCCTCCGAAACCTTGAAGTTCGAAACAGACTGTGCAAAGGTACATGATTGGTTGTTCGAGAAATGGGAGAGCAAGTTCTCAGATGCGCTTTTATTTCGGGACCAAATGAAGGTGGAGACGTTTTGATTCCAAGAATCAAACTATCATTCAATTCGGGGATTCCATTCGTGCTCCAAAGACGTCAGTTTCCAGTAAGACCTGCCTTTGCTATGACCGTCAATAAGGCTCAAGGCCAAACATTCGATCGTATCGGACTGCTTCTGGACGCTCCGATTCTTGCTCATGGACAGCTATATGTAGCATTGACAAGAACAAGAACTAAGGATGGAATCAGAGTTTGGGCTCCAGAAAAAGTCATGCATATATTGTTTACAAAAACATCCTGTAGCTCCATTTCTAGCTTAAATTTTTCAACCCATAGCCATTTTTCATAACTATCCTTTTCTAGGAATTAAACTGTTGATCTGAATTTTCCCTTTTTGATGTTTTTAGAATTGTTCTTCTAATCAATTGTTCTACTAATAAATTTTCAAAAAATAAAATGATAATTGGAACTTTTTGAATTTAAACTGAAGCCAGTGGAAATCGCGCTGTAGCCGCGAATTTTCACTGGTATATTGTAGAAAAACATCTGAAAAATAATAAAAACATAAAAAAACCTACCATTGATAACTAGAAATTGGACAACGATAGTTGGAAAAGCCCAGAAGCCGGAAACCTCTAGTTGACACTTTGAGCAGCCGTTCCATACACGGAATTGTACTTCGATGATGCATGATTTGCTTAAAAGTTGGTCAAAGTCTCTTTTATAATTTTCAAAATGTTATATTTCACATTCATCACCGTTTTCTATTTTTCCCAGATTTTTTAAAAAATGACCCAAAAATCCGAAGTTTTTCAAAAAGTGAATTTTTCCACTAAAATCTTTTCTTTTATTTTTCAAGTTGAGAGTGTTTTTGTTTCATTTTTCTTGGGAGACTTGCTATATTTCACAAAAAAGTTTGACGCTTCAGCTCTATTTTGAAGAAAATTACAGTTGAAAAACACGAATTGTATAACTTATTGCACGGTACTGTATCAAAAGAAGACGTCTGAAAACTGAGCACATTACGGAAATCATTGTCGTCAAGCGGAAAATAGATTCTTGAGTCAGGAAAAACATGTGATTCTGAAAATCGTAATCAAAACTTATTAATTATTCGACCGGAAGATATTCAGGGTTTTTGTTTATCATCATGAGAATACGTATCGTCATAACCATGTAGTTTCAGGAGCTACAGCTTTTTTGGGGCTTTCAAAAGCTAACAAAAAGAAATTCAGAATCCGCCGATCCATAGCTCCTTTGATAAAGTTAGAACAGATGTTGTTTCCTGACCGCTCTATTCATTGTTCTCCTGGAAAGGTATTTCGATTATCAATTTGTGAGTTTTGACCTTCTCGCATAAAACTTCTGAAAAATTGAGAATCGTAATGAACTTGGGACAAGCAGGCACCTAGACAGAACACTTCAGACTTTGCTCCTTCCTCATCTAACCCATTTCACAGCTGACATTGCTGAAGGCAATACCTGTTTTTTACTAGAATCATTTTCCCCGTCAAGCAATGAATCACAACTCTTTGAACTTAATTCTCACCACTATTATATTTATATCCCCGGTTCTATCTGAAAACATTTTCACCGGAAGAGATTATAACAGTATGGAATGTATACTTGCTAATGAATGGACATAATGAAGTATCAGGAACTCAATGGCAATGAGATTTTTCAGATTGGACCAGACATTCAGAAGCAGATGAAAGATGTTTCTGAAAATCTGGATATTTTGGTGAATATGACTTTTACAAGACTGAAAATGTACTGTGACGATCGCTTTGTGAGTTCCAGTGTTTGAAGACTGAAAAAACAGACAAACAGAGAGCATTCTTTGAACCTTTGGTTATTAGACAGCTGACTCGTTTTATCATTAGAACTCATCTTCTCACTTGATCACTTCCCGTCATGACCCAATTGATTTTTATTTTCCCCAGTTTTCTATTAATTTCACCTATCCTCGCAGTCAGTATTTTCGGAGGAAGAGATCATTGGAGTACTGAATGCACAAAGGAGAGGTCCCAAAATGACATGTGCCAAATGATGGTGATGTTCTCATGCGAACGTTTAAAATTTGTGAACTTCCAGATTGGTCTAAAAGTTTGGAGGCATAAGAAAAATATCACAGAACAGCCCGAGATTTCCAAAAACATGACATTGACAGAGTTGAAAATGTATTGTGATGATCGTTTTGTAAGTTATCAAAGGAGGGGAGACAGGAGATTTTTCGGAGTTTATTTTGAGTTACGGTATACATTCTGAACTAACGAATGTACAGTGTTTAGTGTTCACTATGCTTCTATGTGTCGTGACCGTTTTTATGTATGTCATTGGGCAGCACCCATGGCCCATGGGGCTCCGGTGGAGTCGTCTCTTTCTTGATCTGTCCGAACACGTTGAAAAAGTTGGAATAAAATATAAATTTACGCGACCCTTTGAGTAAGACAGAGGAGCGAAGCGACGAACAGTAAAAGTTAAACTGTTTGAAGCGCCGGAGGCGCGGCGAACAAGCTGGTATGAACAAAATTTCGAGACAGTTTTTTTGAAAATTTTAAAGCTAAACAAGAAAATAGCTTCACTTTTGTAGTTGACCACTTTTTTGTACAATTTCATCTGAACTAGATACGCCGCCTGAAGGTAGCCCAATGAGAAAATATAAAGAAATATCAGTAAGTTTAGAGCTGCGACACTCAAGCGTTTTATATCATTTTGAATTTATGCGAAAAAGTTGTCGACTGCAAAATTGAAGCTATTTATTTGATCAGTTGACTTGAACATTTTGGTTCTTTTATGAAATTTTGCTTCTTGAAAAAATGTTGGTCTGAATATTGTGATCGTATTTTTAATGAAAGTTCCGATTTTTCTTTGCTGGTCAATTTCATGAAAATCTTGATAACTAAAACCTGGTGTCAAATTTTCTCTATCTCGTCTAACGCGAGACAGCTGTTTTTCTCAAAGTCAACATTTCTGGGTTTCATAATGAAAACTCATCCCTGTTTGAATCATGCCCCGAGATTCTTGGATCCTTATTATTAGTATCCTACTATTAATTCCATTTACTCTCTCTGTCAGTGTATTTGGTGGAACTGATAATTGGAGTACTTTATGCAAGTATAAACCGATGCAAAGTGATACGATGTGTAAAATAAAGGTATTGAAGTTTCTGGAAAGCGTCCTCGATCGCAAAGCTTTCCAGATCGGTGCAAAAATTCATATCCAAGTGAGGGATATTTCTGAAAATCCAGAGATTTCAAGAAATTTGACTTTGACGGCGCTGAAAAAGCATTGTGATGATCGTTTTGTGAGTTGTTTTGAAATTGACCAAAGGATGATTTCATTTCGTTCGATGTTCTATAGATCTGAGTGGTTCAGCCCCGACAGCTGACTTTGTTTTTCAATTTGAATTCAGATCTTCTTTTTATCACTTCATTTCCTCTGTTTTTTATTATCTACATCATGACTCCATTTCTTCGGAATCGATCCTTCTTCACTTTTCTATTAATTCCCACCACATTTTGCCTATTTGATGGGATAGATTTCTGGAGTTCCGAATGTAACAAACAACAGAACACTCAAGGGGATATGTGTAAATTTTGGGTAAATTTGAATAATTTAAAAAAGTCCTTGATGAGCCAGATTTCAGCACAATTTGAAAGTTAGAGTACATTTGAAGGGGATAACTGAAAATCCAGAAACTTCTAAAAATATAACTCTGACGGAATTGAAAATGCACTGTGATAATCGATTTGTGAGTTTTGATTATTATCGTTTGAAAACTGGAGAGGTTCTGTTGCGGATCAAGTTTTGTGAAATTGTTGAAAATCGAATCTGAATATTTCATTAGGGAAAATTAATTTGAAAAGTGGTCTTTATTAATGAACTTTGGAACTTTGAAAATTTCTAGAAAGTTCTGAAATGAGTTCCAAACTCCCAAATGAGATAATTTCGATTTTCCAGGTATGTCTCGAAAACACTTATTGCTACAAAGACTCTTATAACTACCAACTGCTCGATGAATGCATTGAAGAAGTGTTTCAAATTGGCCCAATGTCGTTTTGTCTTAAGAAATTGAGGGAAATTTCGAACTCGGAACCCAACAAACTGTCAAAATGTGTCAAGGAATATTTAGAGAAGGTGAATTCCGAAAAAGTGTATTAAAATTTCAAAAAAAAAAATAGATTCTAGAACGCTACCTCTAGTACGGACTGTTTGGTGATCAAAAACACTGGCGACTGTTTGCTCCCCGATGTTCAAAAACATTGTGACCCGAAATTTTTGGCAATGTACAAACAGGTAACCTAGTTTTGAAAAGAAGGCTTTAACGATGTGTTGTTCCAGTACCTATCCCTCCGTCTCTACAATCTCGCTTGTGATGGACGTTTGCGCTATAGAGTGCCTGGAGATGAGCCACAGAACGTTTTGAATCCTACAAACTCTACGAAACAAATTGGAGAAAATTAAAATGTTTTCATTAATTAAGCATTTGTACATGAATATGAGTTAACAACTGAATCGTTTGAGTTGGCCATCGAGGTGCTGAAAAAGAAAAAAGGTGAACACAAAAACTAAAAAGCCCAAAACTAACGTCATCGAAATCGCTGGCATAATCTTTTGAGCACACATCCTGTGTCTTTTTCTTTACACACTTCCCATTAGATTTCAGACTTTGACAACGTTGGCGATTCGTTGGAGCCTGGAAAATTTCAAAAATTCGAAAAATCTGATAATGGGAAAACTCACATCAACATAAAGTGGGCTCATGAAGAAGCTGTACACACAGTTATCATAGTTATTGCTATCCATTTTTTGATAGCAATCTTTGAATTTGCCAGATTGGAAATTGTACAAATCACAAATTCCATCGATTTCGGAAATTAGATTTTTGTCGATTCCAGCACACAGTTGGAGAGATTTGTAGCAGTTCTGAAATATTTATAAAAATGTTGGAAACTAATTTTTAGAAACTGAATTTGAAAAATTAAAATATGGAAATTTTAATCGAATTGCTGTTCAAAAACTAGCGGTTCTGAAATGACCGGTTTCAAAATGGCTAGCCAAGAATTCGAAAATTCCCGAAACTCCAGAAATTCGGAAATTCATAAATTTACATGGAATGACTCCCAAGTGTTACCCTTGAAAAAAATTGAGACCTATATAGTTGGAAAGAGCGTAAAAAGTTATTTTAGAATCCAAAAGGAATAGTTGATAAAAAATTTTTTTGGGGAGTTATGGCCCAAAACGTTCCAAAAAATGGCTATATTTTCAAAAAATCATAACTTTGTCTGTTTTTGTTCGTTTGTTTAGATTTAAAAAACAATAAATAGACATTTTATTGATCTTTTGGAAATTTTTTAAAAATTTTTTTCTCATTGATTGGATTATTGATTTTTTGAAAAAACCGAAAAATTTTTCAACATCTCAAAAATCCCAAGTTAACTTTTTTTTCTTATTATAACTATTGAACTCATCACGTTTGATTTACTATAGAAACATATTGATACCCCGGGGGAAATCATGCGCACACAAGTTATGCCAAAAATGTCGATTTTGGCACTTGGCTGCTTTTCTTTTTGAACAGCAATTCGATTAAAATTTCAATATTTTAATTTTTCAAATTCAGTTTCTAAAAATTAGTTTGTTTTTTTTAACACTTGGGAGTCATTCCATGTTAGAAATTCAGAAATTCGGAAATTCAGAAGTTCAGAAGTTTTGAAGTTCAAAAACTCAGATTTTCAGAAATTCGGAAATTCAAAATTTCAGAAACTCAAAAATTTAAAATTTAAAAATTCAGTAATTCGGAAACTGGAAAACTAAAAAATTCAGAAGCTCAAGAATTCAAAAATTCAGAGATTCAGGAATTCAGAAAAAGAAACTCAAAAATGCCAAAATTCAGTGATTCTGCGATTATCAAGGATTCTGAGAATCTGAAAGATGTCGGGTAATCTGAAATTTCAATTTCTGAAACACTGAAATTCTGAAATTTGGAAAATTAGGAATTGATTTGAACTCACCACCGACGTTATACAAAAATCATTAATATCTTTAGAAATATTTGGAGATTTCCATGATCCAGCAAGTGCCGCCTTCAACTTATCATACATTGGACCCAACGTATTCACACAATTTCTAGCTTCATTTCTGATTTCTGGCGCAAAACAACTGTTTGGGATTGTGACCACTGGAGCTGATAGGAAAAGTATGAACGCTAGAAATAACATTTCTGAAAAATAGGTTCGATGAAAAAACCAAAAGATCCGCATCAATATGTGACAGGTTGCGAGAGTTGCCATACATTGAAAAGAGAAAAACTAGGTCAATATTTGTCATTAGGCTCAGGCGAACATGAACCTTTTTCGATTTTTTTTCCCCAGAAATTTCTAGAATTTTTTGTTTGGAACAATACAGTTATTGGAGTTTATTTTGTGAATTTCGTGTATCAGCGTCGTGTTATTGTCCAAGGTAGGAAAAAGTTGTCAACAAATAAATTGTTTATCATAACATCAAAGGGGTCTTGTCAGTTGACGCTTTTTAACCTATTCCAATTCTTCCATCTCAATTTTCCTCTTCAGTTTTAATTCTGCCAAGAAATGTTTCCTCTCACTAAACAAAATTTCAGTCTGCTCGAATTTCTTATCCCCATCTGATGAGATTCCATCGATATGAGAAACAATTGGAGTGTTCAAATTGACAATGTGAAACGTGTCAAGTGATTTGGAGAAGTGCTCACGGAAGGTTTTCTCACCGGCATTGCTGGAAAATTTTCAAGCTTTGAGAATAATGAAAAAAAACTTACTGCCAGAAGTTCATTGCATTCGTATAATAATACTCTCTCTTTCCTGGTATTGTGAAATTTGCATCAAAATTGATCACAAAATGCTCTCGTTTTTCTTTGGTATACTGTAGCCAAGGCTGATCTTCAGACAATCTTGGGTTTCCAAAATTTATAAAATTGGCGAACATTCCAGTATACATGTGCTCAATAATATAATCTTTTGGGGCAAAAACGCCCCGATGTGTTCCAAAAACGTAGATAAAATCTTCAGAATGATGTGGGGATGGAACATTCAGATACTTGTTGAATGCACGTCCGGCTCCGCTGTAGGCATAACTGTAAAAAATACAATAGAGATACAGTAACCCTTTTTAACAACCTGTACAAATACACTTTGGTGTTCTCACTCAAAGGTAAATTCGCTGTGCTAATAGCTCTCGAATAGAATTCCATATCATCTGACAAGTATTGGGCTTGTGTGTCATTTCCGTAATATCTCACACATTGATCTACAAATCTTTCCGGCTCCTTGTAAATTTCAAAGCCAATATGTTCGCAAACATCTTTCAAAAGTTCCTCCTGATTATTTGCATTTTTTGGTTCATTGATGTATCTGTAACCAAAAAGTTTAGAACGTTTTATTAAAGGTGGGGGGACAGGAGATTTTACGGGGGATTTTTGGGGCCAGAGTATGCATTCTACCGTAACGGTGTACAACGCTTAATGTCACTCTGCGTACAGCAGTCGCCCTCGCCTTTATGTATGCAATCGGGCAGCGGCTTTCTCTTTGCACGCGTAGCTCAGTCGGTAGCGGCGCCGCACCTTCAACACTCGCCTCGACAAGTTCAACTCCTTGAGGAGCATATTTAAACGAAATTTCGACAACATTATTTTTCTCATGTCCCCCCACCTTTAATGCTTTTTGCATTACATGTTATCCCGAAGCTCAGCTGTGGTGATACCAATCATAGTGTTGATCGGAAAAACTGAATTATCACGAAAAACGTTGTCAGGGTAGTCTACTATAAACTGAAGTAGCCAATTTTGAAATTAATGGAAATTTGGTACAGTACCTCTCCATCAACATTAGGTGGTCCAAAATAGTAGGTTGTGTCTCTCATAACGAGCATTTCAGCATCCAAAATTTCTTCTGCGGGTTTTGAACGGAGACAAGAATATGCCTGGAATATTTGGTACCGTTTCAGCTGTAGCTTCGATTTTCTAGCACCGGTCCATAAGATATACACTCTAGCTAGGTATCCTTTTTCAGTAGATTTTCGGCTATTTTGACCAATTTTTGGAGTCAAGAATTCAGCTTTCAAGTTTCCGATTATTTTGAAAAATTTGGAGGGTCTAAAACGGACCTAGATTAAAAACTTTTCATTCACAGAATTTCAGAAAATTTCAAGTTTTTCAGATATCTTTTATAAGACACCCCCTATTTGGCTTGTTTTTGAAAACGTGGAAAAAAAACAGGTGTCTTTGAGAAATCGATAAATATATGAAAATTCAGACAACTTCAACAAATACCGTGAATGCAAAGTTTTCAATCTAGGTCTGTTTTACACCCTCCAAAATTATCAAAGTGAACGGAAACTTGACAACCGAACTTCAGACTCCTGAAAATGGCTAAAATGGCCGAAAAGCAACTAAAAAATTCGTTCTTGTCCAAAGGTTTATATGTTTTATCGTAAAAGTGAAAACATGATAAACTCACTTTCTTCAACTGAACCTTCGACAATTTCTCGAATCCCACATCTTCAGGCAAACACCCAACGATTTTTGTTACTTTTGTCATTGCTTTGTAGTTTGACTTTTTTGAGAGATTCGTCAGTGGACCACTCATTACAATTTGTTGATGAATCAATCCTTTCGACAAAGGTGAGATGGAAAACTGGAAATATTTGAAGTTAGAATTCTACCTTGAAAAAACTTGATTCTTCAAAACACTCACCAAAGCAGATAACTCTGCACCTGCCGAATGTCCCATCAAAGTGATCCTATCCTTGTTCCCTCCAAAACTACGAATTTCTCTTCTCACCCATTTTACTCCAGCGAGAATATCTGAAAGTTAGACTTCAAAATTAGGCTCACATTCTGAAACTCACCAAAAAGACCTAGATTTCTTCCTCCGACATCTCCAGCCAATTGTCTGAATCCAAAAGCTCCTAAACGATAGTTCAGAGAGACCACCACAATATTTCTATTCTGTCCAACGAAATTGTTGATGAGAATTTCTGGATTGAATGCTGAAGCAGATTCATATACGAAATCCCCACCATGGATTGCAATCATTACGGAACAGTTTTTCTGAAATTATTGGAATTAGGTATATTTTAGGCAGGGAAGTTCGATCACCTTTTCAAAACAGTACTCATTTGTAAAGACGTTCGCATAGAGGCAGTCTTCCGAGATTGGTCCGCCAACACTGTTTTTGTACGTTTTCCTGGAAAAGAGAGTTCATACAAAAATCTCTATTGTTCGAAAGTGGTCTGGGGTGGCACTGTATTAGGGAGTGGCATTCAATTAGAGGCTGACACTTTATTGTTCGGAGCTAATTTCTACTGAAACTTATCACAAAAGTGCTCGATTTTCAATTCTTTCATAAAATGACTTTCGAAGTTTTCTTGATTTTTTTAGAAACTTTCGAAATTCAATATTATCCTGACACATTTTTTACAAATACAGTACCTCTTCTAAGCTTGAATAAACTAGAAAACCAGAAAATGATTATTTGAGTTATTCTTTAACTTTTACCACAGTGACATCAAATCCGCAGTGGCATTATACTAGGGGCTGCCACTCTATTGTTCGGAGGTGCTCTGAGGTGGTATATTAGAGGCTGGCATTCAGTTAGGGGTGGCTTTCTAATAGAGTTTTTACGGTAACTTCTACTTTAAGACATTTCTGAGTCTTCCTGATCTATGAATGTTGTTGTTAATGTGAGTTTTGAGGTTTTCTAGGTTAAGAAGTAATAATACTTACGTGGCATTGCTCATACAAGCCGGACGGTATGATTTTGTCTCCAGAATCCCCTTCCAAGGAGTTTGTGGTTTTGGTTTATGGAATCGAAGATTTCCTAACGGAGGAGCGACATATGGAATACCAAGAAACACAATTGCAGATTGATTACCTAATGGAGAGTATGTGGCGTTGAGGACTTTTCCTTCGATTTGACCGCTTCTGCCAAATACGAGTTTCTGGAAATTAACGATAAATAAGAGAACTTACGATAAGAGAATCCTTTTGGACAATATTGTGTTCGCTATAATGACAAATAGGACTGTTCGAAAAAAAACATATGAATGAAAATCGTCCTTGTTAGAATGACTGAATACAAAATTTGTTGATAACAGAGAGACACAAGTAGGACATGAGACACAGACTACAGTGGAGAACTTTTTTGATGTGTTGGCCCACAGAAGTCACACGATTTGGAATTCAGAATTTGTTTTAACTTTTTATGAGGAAACATGAAATCAATTAACACATTCAAAATATTAATTTTCCGATTGGGATTAGGATTTTTGAAACAAAGATACAAATTCAATTTGAGCAGAAATACAATCAACGGCTTTAGAAAAGAGGATTCGTTGCAAACTTATCGCATCGGTATGCATGTCTGGCAAAGTTCCATAGCTGAAATAAAAAATTGTTATGCTTATCTTACTGAAATAAAACTCACAATGCTCACGAATTCCGCATCACTTTGCCCACAAACTTCTCTCACTGAATCTACTGCGTGTTGAATATAGAGACCAGAGTTTATGATCAAGCATTGGTGTTGTCGATCGACCTGAAAATAATGTTGAAAATTTGGTAATCGGAGAAAGTAACTGACATTTAATTCTAAAAATTCGAAAGCTCTGGTGATGGTGTCTTCAGCAAATGAGCCGGAATCAAGCAAACGTTTCTGACAAACGGAGGTTAACACTTTGAGAGGGGTTGAAGTGGAAGGTGGGGTAGTTGGAGTTGTCCAAAATGTTGGCTCAGTTACTGGTGGCTCAGTTTCAGTTGTTGTTGGAAGAAAGGTTGCATCTGTCTCAAGAGTTGGAAAGTCGGTAGTGAATTCTGGCCCAGAGGTGGATGGTTCAAATGTATTGAGTTCAGTGGGAGCTGTAGATGATCCTGGCTCAGTAGATGAAGTCTCAATAGCCCATGGAGGAAGCCAGGTAAATGGCTCTGTGGTAGATGGTTCAAATGTGACATCTGGACCAGAAGTTGATGGTTCAAATGTAGTTGGTTCAGTGGGAGATGTTGAGGATTCTGGTTCCGTGGACAAAGTCTCAGGAGTCTGTGGAAGCAAGGTGAATGGCTCTGTGGCAGATGGTTCAAATGTAGGTTGAGTGGGATGTGTAGAGGGTCCTGGTTCAGAAGATGAAGTCTCGAGAGTCGCTGGATTTTCTGGCTCAAAGGTGGATGGACCAAATGTAGTTGGTACAGTGGGAGCTGTAGAAACTTCTGGTTCTGTGGACGAAGAGTCTGGAGTCTGTGTAGGCAAGGTGATTGACTCTGTGGCAGATGGTTCAAGTGTAGATGGCTCAATGGTATCTGTAGAAGCTTCTGGTTCCGTGGACAAATTCCCAGGATTCTCTGAAGGAGGCCAGGTAAATGTGGCAGTTGGTTCAAATGTGGATGACGATGAATCGGTAAGGGCAGCTGACTCAGAAGTTGAGGGTTCTAATGTAGTTGGTTCAATGGCACTGGTAGAGGGTTCCGGTTCAGGAGATGAAGTCTCAGGAGTCTCTGGAAGAGTATGTGGCAATCCTTCAGGTGGCTCAAATGTGGATGAATCGGTAGAGACTGGCTCAGAAGTGGAGTGCACAGATGTAGCTGACTCTGTAGACGCTTCTGGCGCTGAAGTTGGAAGTTCTATTGCTAGATCTGTGAAGACTTCTGGTACAGCAGACGTCGATGAAGTTGAGACATCTGGCTCAGTGCTCGATGGTGTTTCTGGAGACGAAGGCTCCACATCCATCGGTCCACCTATCATTGGGGCTGTAAATTGTTCGAAGGTTGATGTGGATGAATCGGTAGAAGCCTCGGCTTCAGATATCGATGAAGATTCCCCTATATCCGAGAACAAAATGGAACCAACTGTGGGCGTTTGTACAGGATTCGGAGGGGATGATGTGGTTCCAAGAGTTGCTTGTTGAGAAGGTTGTTGAGAAGTCGCAGGACTTATTGTTGAGGTTGAAGCTATAAAAAAGGCAAGACATCAAAAAAGTTCTCAATACAATTGTCCTAGAGAAACCTCATAAGGGATTAAACTCATAAGGGACAGATCAGGGGTACATCGCCGTTACCGACTGACTAGCAACGCGGGCCCAAAGGCGAATGCTGACCTATGGCCTACATAACCTCGACGCAATTATGTTCTCCAAACTGTCCCTTAAACTTTTTGCCATCTCACCTCTTTTAAGAATAAAATCACACGTTAGATCCACAACTTGAATCTGCCATTCTTCGAGATCGGAACACGATTTTTCTTCACTGGAGCAGGTCTGAAACGGAATTTTGAGTTTTAATATCCGGAATTTTGATTGCGTGTGTCGAAAGTCTAGTTTTAGAATCACAAAACAAAACTAATACCTGTAACGCATCACACAAAAATAGCAAGTCCCAGTTCTCTCCCATGATTTGCGCTAAAGTTACTTCAACCAATCCCACGCATCTGTATCCAAGACACGAGGCTTTTTGAGCACTTGCAGACTTATCAAAGTACGTGGGTGCAGAGAGAACAGAAACTAGAAAAAGGGACAATGGGAGAAGAGATAACCAATACATTTTGAGCACCTCAGACAGTGTTTAAGGTCCGGTAATGGTCTGTTTATATAGAGAGAAAAGTAATTAGGGATGGGGGTTACGCCCTGAGCACTTTTCATTGTATTCTGGTTTAATAGAATATGGGGCTTTTATTGTGCAACCGATAGTTGTGATTTGATTAAAAATTGACTCATGTATCATTTGTGTTCTTTCAAAAAACATACATAACGGAACAAGATTATGACCACAAAGAAATTTACTACTTCTTTTTGGTGTCTCTGGTTTTTTGATGTTTTTTAGAAACTTTTTCCAATATTTCCAATATTTGAAATTTTGAGAACAAAGGAAACATTTTTTAAGTTTCAGATTTTGTGATTATTGAAAATCCAAACATTGGCGAAGTTCGAAAATCTCGAGTTTTTCTCAAAAACAAAAAAATTCCCAAGTCAATTTTTTGGCTTAAAAATCAAAATCCTTCGAAAAATCCAAAATTTTGTTTTCTATCATATATGTAATTCTTGATGCATAATTCAATCAATTTTAAATTTCTATGAAAAAATTTGAAAAAAATTAAAATGCTTAAATTCACAATTTCTTGAATTTTGTAAAAAATTGCCAGAATTCGAATGTTTGAATAATAAATACCGTAAACACTCTAATATATGGCCCCTCCTAATTGAACGCCACCCTCTAATAGAACGTTCTCCCAGATATGCATTGAACAATAGAACGCCACTCTCCAATTGAATGCCTCCACTAATAGAATGTCACCTTCAAAAATGATTCACCATTCACCAGCATTATTGATTTGCTGCTTTTCGTAAGGGTTATTGAAAATCTATGTAGGAGACAATTTTGAAATTTTTTCCAGATTATTTCTCAATTTTCACTTTTTTCAAAAAAAAATTGGTGTCGAATGATTGATTGCCAGCCTCTAATTGAACGTTTTCCCAGATACAGTAAAAACTCTAATTTTGTTAAATGCATATCTGGGAGAACGTTCTATTAGAGGGTGGCGTTCAATTAGGAGGGACCATATATTAGAGTGTTTACGGTAATTCGGAAATTCCCATTTTTTAAAATTATTTCAAAACTAAAAAATTCGAAAAATTCGGAAAAATATAAACTTTCTTGAAGTTTCGAACAAAAATATTACAATTAATTTCTTTTGAATAAAAATATCCGAATCATCAAAACTTCCAGAACTTTAAAATCCAAGCTCGAAAAAAATCCAATTCGAAAAAATCGCAGGAAAAACGAGAATTTATGTTAACCGAGAAATATTATGCTAAAAAATTTGTAGTTTTGTGAGTTTCAAAAATTTGAATTTTCAATAACATTTTGAATTTCTGAAGATTTTTCTAAACTTCGAAATTTTTGAATTTGGCAAATTTAGGAAAAAAAAAATTCCCAAAGTTTCTGATTTCAGAATTTTTGTATAACGGAATTTTCGAACTTCTGATTTTCTTAATTTCTGATTTTCTCGAATTTTCTTATTCTTGTGCTCATAATTCTTGAAAAAATTCCTAATTTCTGAAACAATGAGGCCAGAATGATGACTCAAATAAAAATCAACATAAATTCTTTATTTCAAGTTTAGTCAATTCAAATTCAGACAGGCACAATCAAATGCTCTCCAACACTATCCGGATCAAAATAGATTCTGGTCCAGGTAGTTGGTTTTGGACTATTTCCGTTGACAAGTTTGGTCACATAAAGTCCGTGATCCCCAATCAAATTGTCTGGATACGTTCCTTCTTTGATGCAGTTATTTTCAGGACCCGATTGCTCACTGGAAAAGTTAAAGAATTTTTTGCGAATCACAAAAAATGGTTTCAAAACTAACAAGTCGTTGCTAACGATCTTGTTGATACTGATATGCGTATCGGGTTGGAAACTTTGTTTTTTGAGAATCTCAGCTGTGGTGAGCTTCTTTTCAAACATCTTCATATGTTTCTCCTGATAACGATACTCAATTTGAGACGACAACATTCCGCCGTTAGATCTCACGGCAAGCAAAAGATATGCGTTATTGAAATCCTGAAAACAATTCTGACCAGTTTCTGACTAGGTGACTTCCCAAAACTCACCAAATTATCTTGGCAGGTGAATCTGTGGGCGCGAACATTCTTTTCGTTAATTCGACTGCAAGCCACATTTTTGGTAATCTGAAAATTAAAAATTGATTCTCTTGGAACTGGTTTCCTTCACCGTTAGGTCACTGCCAGTACCAGATACAGTCAAAACTCTGGCGTAGACAATCTCAAGAGGCGAAGTTAGGTCTTTTTGCGTAACTTTTCCGCAATTAGTCTTCTCTCTTGCGCTCATTTCCAGCACAAGTTGGTTCTTTTTCGCTTCATAGGTGTTTGCCGCATAGTTGAAACTATCAGCATCAAACTGACGATGAGCACTTGTTTCCCGAGCTGCAAAACGTCGTGTTAAGGAAGCTTTTTTGGTACCCAAAGTTTTTGAATTTGCCGCCAAAAAGCGGATATACAAGTGGAAGGGAAACAAGACGTTTTAGCCGAAGCCTATGATTTGAGCAAAATACAAAAAGTTCTGAAAAATAATCAGCGAAAATTTTTTAATTTTCACAGATTTTTGTAATTTCAGTACTTTTTTTGGCTGTTTTTCAACATTTTTTGTTTTTTGTTAAAAAACGTTTTGCTCTAAATTTAAGCCCGGAAACTCACCATTTTCAGTGTTCGCACTCCTTTGCTCTAACTGCCTTGAGTAGTTGTTATTTCTCGTCCGATTAGTTTCGGAATAAAGTGAGTTGGATGAGTGGAAAGACGCGTTAGATCTATGACCAAGAAAAAACAAATTAGGGTAACGGTCAAAAAGTTTGATTACTTTAAATTTTGAATAATGTAAATTCTTTAATAGAACGACACCCACACTTGTACTTTGAGCTCAATTATCTCGCTTCCTGGGAAAGATATCTAACGTTTGTCAACTGATAAAATGTTTATCATAATATCAGAAGTGTTCTCTCAATTGATATATTTGAGATATCTTTCATAGAAATTGAGACAATTGAGATCAAACTTGACTGTGGTGGGGAATCTTCTATTACAGGTTTTACGGTGACTTTAATGACAACTCCTGGAAGAGAAACCATTATTTTATAAATATGTTTCTTGTCCGTTATGAATCCAATGAACTTTTTTATTTAACTTCACAATAGTTATGAAAATTTTCAATGAGAATTTCAGAATTTTTAACCTTCGAAAAATCAAAAACCCGATTATCATAGTGCACCAATCGAAGAGATTCGTCAGAATCTGGATATGGAAAAGACCAAGTGTCCCTGTCAATCAAATCCGGTTCTCCAAACAGAAGCTGTAGATCAACGTTTTCATCAAAATATTTGTATTTGAGAATAAACTTTTGGAAGCTTGAAGAGCTGAGAAAAGCCTGGAAAATTTAGATTTTCATTGGGTGGAGAGAGTGAATGACTCACCTCTTTTAGCATGAGCAGATCCTCTGAACAGACCATTTCAATTTGAATTTTGGCGTTTGAAAAGTGAGAAAAATCCTTGAGAGGTGCGGAAATAATACAATTAAATATTTCCAATTCTTTTGCTGACTTCCATTGATCTAACCGTACCATCTGGTCAATTTCCAGACTTAAACAGTTTTGGGAACTAGAGATGAACAATTTCCTTATAGATTTTGAATCGATGTATGGTAGAACACTCATTACCTCTTCTTGATTCGTCACTTCCAGATTCAGTTCTTCCACTCGAAGAGGAGAATCTCGATTATCCAAAACTTCACTAATTCCTTTCAAAAAACCAGCTAGAACACATTCGAAACTCAATCGAAATAGTTCTAAAACTGATTTTTGATTTTTCAAATTTTGATTTTTCAAATTGATGATAAGATCATTAAGAAAAATGGTAACGAAATATTGATTTTTGAGAAAGACTTTGGGTTTCATCCCATTTTGAACCGAGCATCCATTTGGCTCATTTTGATACTCAATGTCTAGACTCCAATCATTTTGTGGGTCGATATAAATGGATATGAAGTCTAGGGTTACTGTAATCGAAATGCTTTTTAGGTTGGATTCAAAGTGACGGTCTTTGAGGAAGTTTCGAAGATTCCATGATACTTTTTGAAGGACCAGTCTGAAAATGTTTCAAAATTGTTAAATTCGAAAAATTTACCGTAAACACTGTAATAGAGTGCCACCCAAACCGTTTACTTTGAACCCGTATATCATTTTTTTCTGTTAAAGATATCAAAAAGTGGTCAATTGACAAAATGTTAATTATATTATGATAAACATTTTGTCTGTTTACCACTTTTTGATATTTTTTACAGAAAATGATATATATTTGATTAAAGTTGACGGTTTTTGTGTGGCACTTGACAAGAGCGTTTACGGTAACTTGGTTAAGGCTTACCTGGATTGGAAACCAGCTAGACTGATAATATGACTCAGAACCACAGGGGGTACATCACTCATAGAGAGTTTAGAATACATTTTATACAATGTGAGAGAATGAAAAAATAAGAATAAAAATAAAATAAGAGAATAGATAGCAATATAATATGGGTGTAGTTATAGGGCAATGATAAGAAACACGATCATGAGGAAGTCATGTGATAAAAAACAACAGGAAATGATTGTTGTCTGTAAGTATAGAAACTTCGAATTGTAATGAGGAATTCTTTTTTTTTTTGAAATGTTTTGCTTAGACTTGAGTCATAAAATTACGAAATACAGATTCCTCACTCTTATTCCGATTTTATCAGTTTTTTTTTCTTTTTGTGTCAATTGCTTTTTTTGTATACTCAATTTTTTTTGATTGCAAAGAATTGTGTAATTTTTTCTAATTGTAAAATACCTCTATCAAATTTATTCTCTATTTTGGTCCAAAGATTTTTGTTGGTTTTTTGAAAACTCTAGGAAGATTAGAAATCCCGGAAAATAAAAAATTCCGAAACGTTATTCAATTCGGATTTTCAAAAAAAATTATCAAAAAATTCAGATATTTTCAAAAATACAGAAGTTTTCAAAAGTTCAGATATTTCCAATAAATTATAAAATTTTCAAAAACATTCAAAAAGTTTAAAAAAACATCACTAATTTTGAAAAATTCTAAAATTAAAAAAAAAGGCGTTTCAAAAAAGAATGAAACTTCGAAAAAAATTTGAAAATTTCTAAAAATTAAAAAAAAAAACAAAACTTTCTATAAAAAATAAGAAATTTCAAAATTTTCCAAAATTTAGAGATAGAAATAAACGAATTTTTGAACTAGAAATCAAAAATTCAAAAATCTTGATATCTGAAACTTTATAAGGCTGGAACAATCAATACTAAAAGTTTAAAAAGCAAAAACTGGAATTCATGTATTTCAAAATCTGGAAATACCGCTCATATGAAAGAATATGAAAAAAGATTTAGAATCTATCGGAAATTTCCGAAAAAAAAACAAAAAAAATCAAATGCCGGTAATTTCGAAAAATTTAAAACTTTTCAAAATTCAGCTTTTTCAACAAAAAAGTGCGGAAATTCCAAAAAAATTTTCTGAATTTTCTGATGTTTTCTTTTTTGAAAATTTAAATTCCATGAAGTGCCCAAATTTTCAAAATTATCGGAGTTTTTGGATTTTTTAAAATTTTCGACATTCAAAAATAATTCATGGATCAAAAAATTCTAACTTAAATTCGAACCTAAATACCGTTCAAGAAAAAACATTTATTATCTCAATAAAATACATATTATTGAAAAGTTTATTTCCTTTTTCTCAAATTTTCCATTTCCGGAATATTCTTTCGATTCAAATAGAAAGGATGCTCATAAGCTCCTTTTTTCGTCGAGCTCGTATTTTCGCCATCCAATACTTCATAATCATCGATTTTCTTCGGATCAGGATTCCCAATTTCAATCGACAATAGCAAAAGGGTTAAAACAAGAGCCAAAAAAATTATGAGTGACATGGTTAGAGCACATGAAACACCACAATAGAAAAACAATACGGAATTCCATTTTGAAATTATCATCATCCCATAAATCCTTGAATGTGAGATAGCGATCATACTCCAATTCATCCAAATACCAAGCGATTGGAACTGGCAACAAGGGAATGAGTAGAAGAACAAAAAGAAAACACACCCAAGTCTGAAGTTTAATGACAAAGTGTTTTTGTGCCGAAAAATTCAGTGACACAAACCTTGTAACTAATCCCTCCGTATTTCACAGATTGTTGGTAAAAGATAACATTTCGCAATCTTTTCTTGTATTTCGCAATTTGGCTGAAATTGTTATTTTTTCGATTTGAAGTATTTTGTTCAAATCTACCTCATTTTGAAGTACACATAACAATTAATCATACTTGTGAACAGGAAAATGGAGAAAGCAACGTATTGGTAGTTGAAAGTATCTAAAATTCGAAGACTTGCACTTTGAGCTCAATTATCTCGATTTCAATGAAAGATATCAAAAATATGTCAACTGATAAAATGTTGGTGATACTATAACAATGATTTCATCAGTTGACAGTGACGTACACAGTTTAGGTCCAAACTTACATTTTGCAATTATCCCTGGTAAAAAGTATTCCTCTGGACAGCTCGTATAAAATGGATTGAATAGCCACATGACTGATAATAGGAGTTGAGCCATCTAAATTTAAAATATTAGGACTTTCAGAAAAATACAACAAAAAAGCTTACTTCCCATCGAACCCAGCAAATGTGATGCTTGTGAGAAATATATGTTGACGCAATCCTAATGGAAACAATCAGCTAAAAAACCAACAAAAAAAAATCAGCTATGCTAATGGATTTTTCGCTAACCTGGTAAGCAACCATTATGAAAAATGTGAAGAAAGCAAATGAACATTTAAGAGTGTCGCCTTTGAGTTTGTGATTCTTATCTTGTTCGGTATTCACCAATGAAGCTCTGAAAGTTTACAATTTCATGTCCAACAGTTCTTTCTTTTACTAACAAATCCAACAAAAGCACGAAAACCTGGGTTAACATGTTAAATTGATGGATTTTCGAAACGAACCGTCTACAGTCCTGAAGAAAACTTTTAGGTCGAAATTTGTTTTTTTATAACTAACTTGATAAGTGAAATTCCAGAAAATAAAATGATTTTTCTCATAAGTTAAATGAGCCTCGTCGTTTAAGTCTACAGACGAGAAGAGAGAAGAAATAACTGGCACAAGCACAAACAGAAATGAGCGAAAAAGAAAGATGTAAACGAAGAAATATTGAAGTTTGAATGTCCCTGAAAACAGAATTCGGAATTTTAGAGATTCAGATGAGCTTACAAAAAAACAAGTTGAATAACTGTTCCGACGAATTTTGATGGTATGTGACTTTCGTGTTCCAATGGTAGAGAAGGACAAGATATGCTTGAATTGCTTCTCCAACAACTAAAAGAGGTAAGAAATCATCGTAAAATCCAGACATCGATATTGCAATGAAATGATGAAACACCTCAAATTCATCATAATTTGATTTGTAAAAAGCTTTAAAAGACAAACCTGATACAAAACAAATCCAACAAAGTGCCATACCAAGAACTGTTCAGAGTCGCCCAGAATTGGAATTTTGGTTTTGTCCAGGTTGTAAATGCTGAAAGTTTTTTTTTTTAATTTCTCATTTTCCTACATGAGAACATACTCAATTGGAACTAATAAAATATTAATAAACACCAGTAATTTAAAATAACATCTGTAGATGACGAAAAATTTGAAGTCTCTCTGAATTAAGATAAGGTGACTGTTTGCTTGCTCTAATCACAGTCCACTCTATACGTGCACATTGGGTTCTATTATCTCGGTTCCTATAAGAGATATCAAAAATCTGTCAACTGATAAATTATTTTTCATAATATCGCTAAGATTTTATTAGTTGACAGATTTTTGATATCTCTCATAGGAACCGAGATAATTGAGCTAAAAGTAAAGGGTAAACTTTTATTAGGGCAAATACGGTAGTTGCAAGCAATTAAAAATGCATATTCAGATTCCAGAGTCCTAAACAGAATACCAGGGAAGGAAACCCAATAGAAAAAAAAAATAAAGAGCAACACCCACATTTCTTTTAGAATATTCTTCCATTTTTTCAAAGAAATTGAACATTGAAACAGGAAAAGTAGCTGAGAAATCAATTAATTTACAGGCGCAAAATTTTTACTTTTTGTCACGTGGCATTCCCAATTTTCCAAATTTTTGTTGTTGGAATTTCCTTTGTTGGCTTTTCATTTTCAAAAAGAGTATTAATAGTGAAATAGGAAAGTACACATAGAAAATGAGAAAATTTAGTAAAACTGATAATAACATGAAAAATAAAATACCGTGAAACCTGACATAGAAGCCCCCCCCCCCCCACTGTCAATTTTGAGAAAAATTATCTCGGATCCTAGTTGTAAGCAAGATATCAAAAATGTATCAACTTTTAATATACCGTATTTCCTCTAATAGAAGCCCACCTCTAATAGAAGCCCACATCATATTATGATGAACATTTTATCAGTTTAAATCTTTTTGATATCTTTTACAGGAACCGAGAAAAATGGAATCAAAGTTAGATATATTAGGGGTTCTTCTATTACAGGTTTGATGGTAAAAATATAAATTAATGACTTTTGAAATCAAAAGTTTAGTATTCAAAAGGTTTTGAAAATCTGAAATTACGGCTAACTGAAGCAATCAAAATAAAAGTTTATAAATTGAAAACCCGTCCAAATTAAAGTTGTTGAACATGTAGGACGGTCAAGCAATTGGAATTTGAGAATCTGAAAATTTCGTCAATCTGAAAAACTAAGTACCAAAAAATCACAAAATCCAGATTATCAGGAATGAAACTATCGGCATCCTGAAATCTGAAAATCTCAAAATCTGAAAATTTTGTTAACGTAAAAGTAAACAAGACTTATAACTGTTAGATTCAAAAATCTAGTACTATTTAAGAATTTGGAGATTGGGAATAAAGGAGTCTGAATCGGAAAATTTGAAACTTCGTGTCTTGATAATTGCCGTTTCCAGATTTTGAAGATTCATTATTCAAACCAGTTCAAAGAATACTCATTGGAAAAAAATAGCATACAACATGCATTGCAGGAAAAAAGCATAAAACAAAAATGCTGACAAAAAAAATGACCATACATTTTAAAGCAAGCTGAGAAAACTGACATTATTGGAAGGAAAAATACAATAGATGGGGGTATAACAGTTATCAACAATACAGGGTTTAATATCAATTAGTTAATTAATTAAGCTGCTCGGAGAAGCTCAATTCTTACGGCCTCCGCTAAATGCTCTATTCTTGGTCTACGAGGTCTCATGCCAGTAAAGGTGACATTCAAACTGTCGCCTGGCCGTTTCGCAGCCCGTTTATCTTTGTTATCCCATGAGAGGATCAATTTCTGAAGAAAATTATTTCAAATTTAGAAAAACATTGTAATACTCACCATGAGATCCCACTGAACATCCCGATCTTGGGCATCCTTGCTCATGAATTTACTCATAAATTTTTGATTTATCTTCTCATTTTCCGCTTCAAACTCGCATGTGTTGTATAAATGCTCAATCGGGCTCGATGACAACGGGGATAACATATCGTAACGACGCGTTGAGATGAGCTCGGAGAACCTGGAATTTTTGGAGATCAGCAATTTGAATCTTTAGAAAAGCCACCCTACATATTCAATTGATGGAGGTATGACCTCTTGAGTGGAAGACTCTTCCAGAAAATGAGAATTTCCGGACGAAGATTGACGATTAGGGCGAGCATCTCGTCCCATTTATGAAGGATAAGCGGGCGCAGGAACTCACAGTCACTTTCTTCGGCTGGAAAATTGAGTAGTTTTCATGGAATTCTGTAAACAAGAGTTTACCGGTAATAACAATCATTCGCAACAGCTCACAACGAAGGCGAGTGATCATACAGTACTCGAAGAGTTCGAAGACTTGGATTTTCTGAAAACAAAGTGAAATTTAATTTTTAATTTTTTCAACTCCAATCATACCAAATCCATAGTGGCATTGTAAAAGACTCGAACATCTACTAAGCACTGCAATGCCAATTCCACCGCCTCTGCAGTGTGGTCCAATTTGAATTCATCCATTAGTTCCGTGGTCATTACAGATGTCCGTTTTCGTGCTCCATCGTATCCCGAGTAGATTTCAAAAAGCACTTTTGGCACCTCAAGACGAATCCCGTCGGATGTTTTGATGGTGTATTTATCTTTGGCGAGAAGAGTTGCTGTGACACTTTTTATGTCGATGTTTCTGGAAAAATTAAGGTTGAATTAGCTATTCAAATGAGCAGCGAAGAATCAACCAGAAAACCTGTAATACAAGGACCCCACACTGTCCAGTTTGAGTTCAATTATCTCGATTTCTTTGCAAGATATCAAATTTTTGCCAACTGACAAAACATTTCTGATATTATGATAAACAACTTATCAGTTGACAACTTTTTTATATCTCTGATAGGAATCGATAAAAATTGACTGAAAGTTTCTTCTCAGATCGGCCTCGTGAGGGGCATTTTCTGAGCCTCATGTTAACTACTATATTTTAAACTTCTAAATAAATAAATTACAAATTACAAGTTAAAAGTTAAAGTGCCCTTCAAAATATTACAAATTGAAGATAATCAGCAGAGATGGCCGGAATGACTTTTTTGAAGAACGGAATCCGGAATAAAATAACTTTCTCGGAATCCTAAAGACGGAATCTGGACAAATAAAAATTTCCTGGAATCCGGAATACATGTTTCGGAACAAGAAGACCTGGAATCCGGAAACATGAATTTCGAGGTCTCCAATGGGCAGAAAAATTCTAAAAAACACATATCGTGCTTTACTTTTGCACGCTAGTCGCGGAAGTTTAAAAAAGTCAGATAATTCTTGCAGATTGACACATTTGCTGAAAATCCGGAATCTGGACAAATCACAATTTCTCGGAATCCGGAATCCGCAATATGGACATCTCTGGTAATTAGGCTTCACGACCTTGAGTTCCCCAAGAAAAATAAAACCTCACCTATCAAAACTTTGCAACTGAAGATCACTATCATTGATGATGAAGAATGCGTCGAGATAATCATTGTATCGTTGTGTATTTTCATCGTTGATGCAAACCATATTCAAGTTGATCGCGTTACCATCAACGATATGCTCCAACAACTTCGGATCAATACAAGAGATATGGAATCGAGTTGTGAGGGTCCAGTAAATCATATGCTCACGGTAACTAGTATTCTTGTCCTGCACAGGAAGTGCCTCGACCTGAATCATGGACTTGAAATACCGCAAAACCTATATGAGAACCTGCTACTAGTTCTACGGTAGTTCAATTGAAAAAAAAAAAACTCACCCGAATCAAATGCAATCTCTCTTCTGACCCATCCACATCATTTTCAGTAATCCTATCCTTCATTGATTCTTCACAGTGATTCCATTTGAAATTATGCATTCCTCTGGGAATTGCAAAAATACCCGAATTGGCCTTTTCAACATCAAAATTGTTTTCGAGGATTTGCTTCACACTGTAATAGAAAATTTATGTTTCTCTTTGTTAAACCAAATCACTCACAAATATCCAAACTTTGCATCCAACTGATTCAATCTGTACTTCAACGGAATTTGCCCCAGTTTCTTCAACAAATCGCTGACCGTATCCATCAAACCCAAAATGTAAGCTCGACACTTCTTCTTCCTGAAAGAAAACTAGGTTTGTCTGTGTGTCTGTTTATCCAGAATCCCTACACTTCTAGCTCTCTTTTCTCACTTTGAGCACTAGTCCAGTCTGTTCCCACAACCATCACTGGAATCTTGAGTCCCATTTTGAACGCCGTGTGCATTTCCTTTCGAATTGCATTCACATCCAAAGTGTATTCGTCATTGATGTTTTCTACGAAAACTTTTGGAAGTCCATTTTCATTCAAACGGAGGAAGTGAATCAAAGAGAGAAGGATTCTGGGGAGTACGGTAGACCGCGCCAATCCTGAAATTTTTGCATTGGAAGAAAAAAAAACGAATCAAATCGATTACTCACCATGCATAGTATACAATTCGCTGATTTTTTTGATAGGCCATTGATCTAATAATTTTTCATGTACTGCTTGCAACTGTTGTGTTGAACACGTTACTTCAGAATCCTGGGGGTATTTCAATTCGGTGGGCATCATTCCAACTCGAAATTGAGGCAGAATATTGAGATTTTTGTCCGACTCCCGCTTATTATCAGGTTCATGTTTTCTCTGAAAAATAATAAGGTTTAAGCATTTCAAAAAAGCGTAAAACTTGAAACTTTTTTAATATTTTTCGACCTATTTTCCCTACTTTTAATGGAAAATACCGTATTTGCTCTCATAGAAGACCACCCTACACTAGCTTAATTATCTTGGTTACTACAAGAGATATTAAAACCTGTCAACCAATAAATTATTGCTGTTATTATGAGAAACATTTTGTTACCTGATTGTGAGAAATTTTTGATACCTTTTCAAGGAACCGAGATAATTAAGCTTAAAGTGAACGAATAGGGTGGGCTTCTGTTAGAGCAAATACGGAATTCAGCTTTGGATGACAAAAAAGTATAGTAGATGTTGTACTTGACAAGAATAGAGCTTTAATTTCATAGTTGACACCTTTTTTGTACAGATTCATCAAAATGAGATGAAACCTTTTAATGTGTGACGACTATAAATCCAGTGAAAGTTTCCACACTAGGTTGGCTCCATACTGTCAAGTTTGAGCTAATTTATCTCGGCTCCTGTGAAAGATATCAAAAATGTGTCAACTAAAAAAATGTTTGTGACAGTATGATAAACACTTCATCAGTTGGCAACTTTTTTCTATCTCTGACAGGTACCGAGACAATTGAGGTCGAAGTGGACGGACGGTATGTTAAAAGTGATGTGCGGTGAAAATTTGTATTGTTTTATTTTGTGCAAAATTCTATGTAGATTCCCATAAAAATAAAGAAAAATGCAAAAAAAAATCCTTCATTGAGAAAAACGGCATCGAGAAGTCAATTTTTTCAGATTTTTAAAAAGATTTTCAAAGGTTTTTGTTATTTTTTTTCCCAGATATATTTATCAAACTGAAAAATTCTGAAAAAAAAACTGAAAATCAATAAAAATTCAAATTTCGCTCGCTTTTTCCTGCAAATGGCCTAGAAAACCCCCGCTATTTCGCTCGGACACCATATACAACTTTGACTTTTCGACGCCGTTTTTCTCAATGAAGGAATTTTTGTTTGAATTTTTCTGTACTTTTATGAGAATCTAAATAGAATTCTGCACGAAATAAAACAATAAAAATTTTCACCGCACACCACCTTTAATACCGTATCAGAGGAAATACGGTATTTTTAATGAACTCACATATCTGATAATCGACTCGCCACAAGTTGTCATTTTCATGGTCCCAAATTCGAATGGTGCCACGATTTCCTCCATCACACACAACAATACATCCCCCTTCCTTTCAATCAATGCATCCGCAACCTGTATATCTCCGTCCTCTTCCTCATCCGAAGAATCGTCCCCGGAATGATCAGCTACTCTTGGCACAATTATCAGTTTCCCCTTGTACATATTCTTATCAAACATTGCGTAGGCAACTCCGTCATCGGTATAGAAATAATTTTTCCATAGATGCTCTGAGTTCACACGAAATCCATCAAGCAGAAAAACAATTACCTGCTTCTCGTTATCCTTTCCAAGCCAGGTACAATCGGGACGAACAATCAGTTCTCTACGCGTCCCATCGTGCACATCTACAGTAATCTTACGATTCTTGTGTTCTTCAGCTTCTCGATTCTCAGCCAATCTCAATTTATTGATAATGGTCCAGTTTTCTCCGGAACTAAGAATCCGAATATTTTCAGTTGGAGTGTACTTTCCGATGATTAGCGATGAATCCTCAGTGTATCCAGTGATTTTAGTGCTGGCATCGGTTAAAACGATTTCGTGATTGACCTGAAAATCAGCATTTTAGTTTGGCTTTCTGAACTTAAAAAAAGTTCAAAACTATAAAAAATTACCTTCGGACGGCACTTAAAATAATCCAGTTTTACTGGAGTTGATATAATTTCTTCCGCTTCATGATTCCCTTCCAAAAAATTGGCAGCTTTTCCGCATCCGTACAATTCGCCGTTTGTCAAAACGAAAATCGTGTGGAATTGACCCATTTCAATATGACGGACCTGAAAAATTGATAAATTTACCGAAGAGCTATTTTTAAAAGCCCATACACTTCCTGGAAGCTTAACTGGAGTCAATTCCGAGATATGATCTACATCGGATCCGATTCCAAGTCTTCCCCATGCGTTATTTCCCAGAGCCATGGCAAATTCGCATTCTGAAAATTTTTTGAATTTCTTGAAACTTTTTCAAGTTTGAGGTTTTTGGTCAGAAAGTATATTTGGACTTGAAACCTTTCAGAGTTACCGGAATTTCACATAAAAAAATAAACTGTCGCATACCTATGTATATATTAGAAGCCCACCCTTTACGAGATCAATTATCTCAGTTCTTTCATACAATATCAAAAATGTGTCAACAGCTAAAATGTTGACAACTTTATGATAAAAATTTTATCAGTTAACAGATTTTTTATATATCACATAGGAACCGAGATAATTGAGCTCGAAACGACCGTGCAGAGCGGGCTTCTAACAGAGCAAATACTGTAAATGCACTTTGAGCTTAATTATCTCGGTTTCTATGAAAGATATCGAAAATCTGTAAATTGAAAAATGTAGATGATTTCATGATAAACATTTCATCAATTGACAACTCTTTGATATCTCTTATACGTAAAAAGATAATTGAGCTCAAAGTGCATGTACAGTGCGGCCTGCTGACGAAAGACGGCAAATGGAAAACGGGACAGTCCTACCCAATTTGTTTTCTAAAAAGACAAGGAATTTAAAAAAATAATTACCTGTCTTTTTGAATCCAGTCGCTTTAATTTTTACCCCTGCCTTACGGGTTTCTTGAATCAGCATCAACTCCATTGGAAAATTTTCAATTCCTTGGGCAAGAAATGCTCGACAAATTATGATTTTTGTGGTGAGAGGGAGTCTGGAGATCTGGAAGTTCGTTTTTTTAAATAACTTTTCACATTAAAATTTAAGTTACCCGTAAAGCCATTTTCCTCCGTTTAAAAATGCTCGCTTGGCTAAAATACTTGACAAGTTTCTCGGCTACTTTCTCAATGTACACAGCTTCGAGATTGTAGTCTGGAAAATGACATTCAGCGTAAAGCCTGTAATAGAAGGGCCCTCACACTTTAAGCATATGTATCTCAATTCCTATGCAAGATATAAAAAAGTGTCAATTGATAAAATTTTTTTATATTCCGATAACCAGTTTGTCAGATAACAATTAATTTTTATCTTTCACGGTAATCGAGAAATATTGACTCAAAGACAAGGCGGTAGGTTTCGTTTTTTGAAATTAACTAACCTGTACATAATGTGGTAATTATCTGTAATTTTTTAACGGCATTCAAAGAATCTTTTTTCAGCAATTCCATCATTTTCTCAGTTTCCACTCCGATTTTTTGAATAGCTTGGAGTTGCTGATTGCGCCCGCCATCACTCATTTTTAATTACTGTAATTTAGAAAAAGTTATGACACAAAAGCAAACAACAATAGGAAAAAAGGGATGAAGAAACACGGAACATCATGGTGCCGTTCTGATATATGTTTCTCTGACGGTGGAAAATAAAAAGAGAGAAATAGTGTGTGGAAGAGAGGAGAGTGCCTGACACCACTGGACGCGTGCGCGCGCACGCATGTAGAAATAGAATCTAGGTGGACGAGAGTGCAGGGAGAGAAAGAGTTTTGGAGATTTTGGAGAAGAGAAAGGAACAAAACAACAAAATGGTCAGATTAGATTGGGAATGGGACAAAAGGTGTCAAATGTATTTGGTGTCAACATAGGCATACGTGCAAAAGTGCCTTGCCATAGTTTCTTCCAGAAACAATATTTTTAGACCAACTAAATTAGACAATTAGACAACTCTGCGATTTCTACAAAATGATACTATTTGGAAAACTGTGTCTTATCTATGAACAAAGTTACAAGTCATAAAGTGGCTGGGCCTTGTCGCATAGGCCCAGGTCGGGCCGGGCCTCCATTTGTTGTCTGTAACTTTGTTCATGGACAAGACACAGTCCTCCAAATAATATCATTTTAAAGTACTCGTCGATTTCTATGATATCTAATTAAATTGGTTAAAAATATTATTTCTAATGGGGGCCATTGTTCACTTTTCTCATTAGCTCTTGGAAAATCTAAATCTTTAACTATTTACTTTTGAATTCGTCTCGGATATCTCTCACCTGATTCGTTGAAACTTTATTTTCAGATACAATGTTCTCCGCCAATGAAAACCAGTTCAGTAATTTTTCTGTTCCATGTTTAAAGTGTGTGATCCGTTTTGTCGATTCCGAAGTATGTAACATTTTCTAAAAGTGAAATTTATATATAAAATTTTGAAATTTGAGCGAACGAACTTTAACCGTTTCTTCTGTCATAACAGGATGACCGGAATG